ATATATACACCTATATACAGAGCGTGCATTCCTGGGAGGGTTTGTCTAGAAGATAAGCGATGTAAACTATCAGAGTTCTTCCCCAAGTTAAGTAGAAGGACTCCCAAAAGGAACTATGACAACAGAGTTCATGAAATAAAATATTATCCAATTCTAATGCAGAAACAACATTTGATTCCCACACTATGGACACAAGATGACAGTCTTTATACCCTGTTTTTCCCTTTATCCATCCTCCTGCCCTGTTTCCCCATTGGCTGGGTACTCCAGGTTCACAATCTTATCAGTTGACGTTTGTTGATTCGTGTGTTATCTGGTGTAGCCATCTTGTTGTTTCCAAGATGTCTTGGTGCTCTTCTTCTCGGTGCTGGCCTAGCACAGCTCACATTGCGGCCAACTCCCTCCCCGCAATGTAAAGGCTGTGGCTATTCTACAGAGAGCAGCCCCGGATGCACACCCTTCACTCAGCAAAAGGCAAAACATCAGCGCTATTAATGATGCCTCAACTGAGAGCAAGGCCTGGGGACGTCAGCGCTGAGCTGTGCTGACTCAACTTATGGCAAATAATTGTGTGCATTTTGATACCCTGGATAAACACAGCTCTGAAGAGCAAAGAATGTGTGGCCATGCTTTCTGTTTCAGTGAAGGAATTTCAAAATAGAATCATAGAATCACAGAACTGCTCAGGTTGGAAAAGACCTTAAAGATTATCAAGTCCAACCACAACCTAACCATACTATCCTAACTCTAACAACCCACCACTAAATCATGTCTCTGAGCACCACATCCAAACAGTTTTTAAACACATTCAGAGATAGTGACTCAAACACCTCCTTGGGGAGCCTGTTCCAGTGCTTAACCACCCTTTCTGTAAACTTTTTCCTGACATCCAACCTAAACTTACCCTGGCACAACTCGAGGCCATTTCCCCTTGTCCTGTCACCAGTGAGAATAGACCAACCCTACTCTTGCTGTTGTTGCCTTTCAGGTACTGGAAGAGAGCAGTAAGGTCTCCCTCAGCCTCCTCTTCCCCAGATTAAACAGCCCCAGTTCCTTCAGTCTCTCCTCATAGGGCATATTCTCCAAGCCCTTCACAGTCTTGTTGCCCTTCTTTGGACCTGCTCCAGCAGGTCCCAAAGGACCTCCATGTCCTTTGAGGTGCCCAAAACTGAACACAGTACTCAAGGTGAGGCCTGACCAGTTCTGAGTACAGGGGCAGGATGACTTTCCTAGTCCTGCTCACCACACCATTCCTGATACAAGGCAGGATGCCATTGGCCTTCTTGGCCACCTGGGTGCACTGCTGGCTCATATTCAACTAACTGTCCATCAGTACACCAAAGTCCCTTTCCATCAGTCAGCTTTCCAGCCATTCCTCTCCAAGCACATAGGGTTGCCTGGGGTTGTTGTGATCAGAATGCAGGACCTGACACTTGGCCCCATTGAAACTCACAGTTTGCCTTGGCCCACCCATCCAGTCTGGCCAGGTCCCTCTATTGCCTTTCTCCCCTCCCCCAGATCAACACTCCCTCCCAACTTGGTGCTATCCAAAAACTTACTGAGGGTGTATTCAATCCCCTTATCAAGATCATTAATCAAGATCTTGAATAGAAGCAGCTCCAGTGCTGAGCCCTGGGGGACACCACTGGCCATGACTGGCCGCCAACTGGATTTAATTCCACTGACCACAACTCTTTGGGCCTGGCAATCCAGCCAGTGTTTCACGCAGCAGAATGTATGCCCATCAAAACTGTGGGCAGCCAGCTTCACCACGAGGATGCTGTGGGGTACAGTGTCAAAGGCTTTACTGAAGTCCAGGTAGACCACTTTGACAGCCTTCCCTTCATCCATTAAGTGGGTCACCTTGTCATAGAATGAAATCAGGTTTGTCAAACAGGATCTGCCACTCATAAACCCATGCTGACTGGTTCTGATCTCCTGGTTGACCTTTAATTGATCCATGATGGGTCTCAAGATTATCTGTTCCATGACCTTTGATTTGCGGAATCAACTCTCTAGCCCATGTAAGGTTACAAGAGCAGGTACGGCTTTATTTCAGCACTGCGCCACACGCTGGGTGCAAGGGGAATTGCTACTCCTAGCTTGCACACTAGAGAGTGGGATCTCGATACTTTTATAAGCCAAGCCATACATATTCAGCAGTATTACCCAAGACCCATTGACATATTCATTACTTTTCCAGGAATTCATTTACATACTGTCCCCCTCCCCAGTCCTTGCACAGTAGCTTCCATTGGATGAAGGCTTGACGTCTTCCTCCCCATCTGGTGGTCGTTCAGGGATGAAGTCAGATGTCTTCCTCACCATGTCCTCCCGACCTTTGTTCCAGTTTTGAGCTCTTCTCCTGCCCTGCATGCCTCAGCAATTTCTTATTCTGCTTACCTTCCCTTTCTATTGCTTTCTTAGGAGCCCCTTTCTGCTGGCTTGAGAAGGCTCCCTTTTGAGAATGCGTTTGGGCTAGCAAAAGGTTAAACTAAGCAATAAATTCCTAAACTAAGCAATAAATTTCCTCTTGAGTTAGCAAAAGGTTAAATTAAGTGATGCTATGTGCAAATTCCATTTGAGTTAGCAAAACCAAACAATGGGCCCCTTACATCTTGTATTCTTCAGCTTATTATCTCATCCTGATTGCTACACTCTTTTGTCTTGGCTTCCTTTACTGCTGGCCCATGTTTACCCTTCATTCCCTAACTCACCTTCTCTGGCACCAAAGTGAGATCGATAGGTCGATAGATACCAGGATCATCTTTCCGTCCCTTTTTGAAGATGGGCATTTACCAGTCTCCAAACCAGGACATTCCCAGTTAGCCAGGACTGCCAAAGAATGATGGCAAGTGGCTTGGCAACCAGATCTGCCAACTCTCTCAGCACTTCAGGGTGCAATCCTTCTGGCCCCATGGACTTGTATTTGGCTTTTTGTTAGTACAACTGGCAGGATTTCCTCTGTTTCAGAGGAAGAAGGTAAGTTCTCTCCTCCCAGACATCAATGTAGCAGGCAGTATGATACTCCCTGGCTACAGTCACAAGCATACCCACACCTTTGCAGAACTCCTGGCATTACAGTCCCTGGCTGCAGGCATGAATACCCTCGAGCCCTCTGGGTTAAAGAGAGGCCTTTCAGATGCCCTCATATTTCCTATGCCCCTACCTGCTCCTTGTCCTCATGGAGCTCCTCTGCAGCTCTGCTACAGAGCTCCTGCTGCTGGGAGGGAGATGTGGGGATGCAAGGGGAGATACAGACTTCTGCGCGGAAACATGCACAAACGGCAGAGATGGTTGTCATCATGGGAAGCCATGCTTAGAGAGCACAGGCATACTGGGCCTTAGAAAGAGCTCTCCTTGCAGCCCAAATTCCTCTCTCATAGCAGAGCTCCAGCTTCTTCACATTTGTTGATGGCAATTGACATGATACCAGCAGCCTGTCTGAGAGAAACACCAATAGATTTTATTTTCCATTCGGAGGTGTACAGTGGAATTCCTAGGTCACAGCCTGAACCAGAACGTGAGCACGTGAGTGCCTGGAGTGGGGGGAGCCTACATCCACTCCTTCCTCTCTCCCCAACTCAGCGGTGCTTCCAGGAATGTGTTTGCAGTCTGAGTCTGTGCTGTTTTTCCTCGCCCTCTTCCTTCTCTCCCCCGCGCCAGAGTTTGAACTGGAGCAGGCTGTGTTCTTCAGCTCACGCTTTTTTCCAGGATGTTGCTGGGAGGGGTGACTTGGTTCCTCTCCCCTTGATATCTTGTTGTATGGCGCCTATGTCACCTTTGTTTGCTTTACAGAGGTGGAAAGCTGGACAGCTTCCCAGCCCCCTTGCCGGGAGCTCCACCGCTGCCACCATTGTTCTCAGCATCTTTCCCTCTGAAACGGTACCAGCACTGACAGCTAAAGAGGGGAAAAGAACAGTGTAAGCAGTCTTACAAACTGAGCATAAAGAAGTACTGCAGGCTGGGCTCAGGCGGGGCTGTCAGGATCTGCTTCTCATGGAGCTTACCAGGGGTGCTGCTGCTTCTGTGCTTGCTTTTGCCTGTTCCTTTCTGCCATGCTGGCAAAAGCCTCCTGCTGATGTAGGTGCGGCTCCAGCCTTCTCAGCACTTGAGCTGCTCTTGGGGAAAGAAGGCTGCAACAGGAGGAGAAAGTCATCCCTCAGGCTCTGCTGAACCTCCTCTGCCTCTCCCATCACCCCGCCCCATACCCATGTGCTGCTGCGTGTCCCCACCCTTTCACCCCACAAACAGTTTCTGGCCTGGGCCATGGCTGCCCCCGAGCTGCAGGGTCACAGTTGCCCATGTGCCTCAGGTGGTGAAAAGAGCCCGCGCACACTTACCCGGCCTGGAGTACCAGCTTGGAAGCTGTTCCCATTTCATTTGATGGTATTGGGCCCTCAGCCTTCCTCCACCTACGCCTTGCCTGCTGTCGCTTGGGCTGTGCTGGAGGACGTGGAGCCCAAGCGCGTGCCTCGTTGAACCACTGCCAAGGAGGAGACAGTGTCAGCAAAGCCGGCCCTGGGAGCGCAGAGGCTGTTTCCCGGAGCCCCTCTGGCAGCGGCCCTGCAGCAGGTCCTGGCAAGCAGGAGACTCAGCCCTGTTGTCAGTGGTGTTGATTCCTGTCAGTACCTGGGGTGGCTGCTGGTCCTTCCCTGTGCTCCAGCTGTCCCATGCTGTCCTTTCTGCCTGTGTTTGCAGTACCTCCTTATGGTACATAGGCCACAAGTGCTCCACTTTGTCCCACGGCGCAGACACTTCCCAGAGTTCCTGCAAGGCCATAGAGACACAGTAGCACACAAGATCTGCCTCAGGCCCAGGGGCCTTCCTTCAACTCTGCACTCCTGCCCCTCGCCTCTGCTGGCCAGTTGGCACTGCTTTGGCCCAGAAAGACCAGGGGCCCAGAAGTCAGGCCAGGATCCACAACTTGTGGCAAACACAGCAGAGCAGCCTGTGGAGACCCAAGGCCTCTGCTGTCAGGGATCCAGAATGCCGTGCTCCTGTCATGCAGCACCTGGTCAAAAATCAGTGTGCTGTGGCAGGCCAGGAGGCAAGAAAAGACTGAGAAGGTGTGCAGCCACCCTCTGCTTCCTGGAAATAAGCTGAAGGAGCTGACAGAAATGCAAAACAGAAGATACACCAAGGGCGCTGCTCGAGATCACTGTGCACACAGTGCTTTGTACAGTCTCAAGCAGCACAGTTCCTACAGCAAGGCAGAGATGGTACCTGCAGCACTCTCTTAGAGCCTTCCATTGCAGGGAGTGCTGTGCTGGGCTGGGCTGGAGGAGCTGCTTCCCAGCGGCCCGACGTCTTCTTCCAGAGGGAGCTGCCTGGACACAGCGGCAGCACGCTGCAAACAGACACCAAGAGTCTGCGGGAGCCCAGGGCAGCTTGGTCTCACCCTGTGTTCCCACAGCCAGAAAGATGCGCTCCGTTGCAACGTGGAGCAACTCCTGAGCTAATGCAATCCATAGGGATCTACATTCAGCTCCCCTGGCGATTCGGGACCCAGGTAGAAAAGGAAGCTGGAGTGTCTGCCTCGGGTAAGCACGCTGGGTGCTTGCCATCCCTTGAGAGAATGGCCTCCCCAGGGCACACACGTGTGTCGGCAGCCTTTCTGAGTCCCACTAGCCCTAAGGGGAGGCAACTCCTACTGGAGCGTATGCCTCTCCTCCCTCTTTTCCCCCAGGGGCCTCACCTGGCAGAAGGCTTCTTTGCTGTCTCTTTCTGCCATGTGCCTGGCTCCCAGCTTGGCAGCATGGAGGGGGGAAACGTCTCCCTTCTCTGCAACAGCCTGCCAGCAGAGGCCACTGCACCTAGGAAAGGAGAGAGCTCTTCAGAGCAGCCCCGCAGGCACGTATTTGAAGCTGGCTCCTGTCACCCAGCACCAGGCGGAGCCCACCACTGTACAGCAGGGACCCATTCCCTCACCTCTGCTGATCCTGCGCTCTCCTGCAACTCTTGTGCTGGAGGTGGCCTCTGCTCTGCTCTTTTTCATAGTCAGCTGAAACCTAGAAACAAAGAGTGATACAGCCTTGAAGATGGATGACCTCCTGCCCTGTGCAACTTGTCAGCAGTAACTATCTACGTGTTATGCAGAGCATGGCACCCCTTCTCCTTCTCTCTATGCCAAAGCAGCACACGGAGCCCAAATTCCTCTCCATGTGCAGTCAGTTCTCTGTGATGGAAATTAGAACAGGTTGGGCATGAGAAACAACCATGATTCCCTGTCACTCTAGGTGGAGACACATGCAGCCAGAAGGCAGCATTAGTGAACCAGGAGCCACTCTTTCCAGGACTTCTTCCCAGTCGGATGCTGAGCATGGAGACCCAACAGCGCACGTTCCAAAGGAGGAGGTGGAAAGGAAGCCTCCCACCCGGTCAGCTAAGAGCTGCAGATGAAATGCACTCACCTTGGAAACATCTGGATCCCGTAAGTGGTGGTCTCTCGGCTGAGGTCCATGGGATGTTCTGGCCAAATTCTCTGCAAAGGAACAAAGACCTGCTGGAGGCTTTCCAAGGCAGTTTTCTCACAAGCCTCATTGACAGGAAGAAAAACTGTCTCCTATGCCAAAAGAAAGCGTCTCTTCAAAACCCTCCACCAAAGCCTCTTCCATGAACATCAGATCTTTGTTCTGCTCTGAAGGAGCTGCACAGCAAAATACTGAGTCTGTGCAAGAACACTTTCTGACAGGCTTTCTGCAGGGGCAAGGATCCAGGACACCTCTTTGCTATTATAGAAAGCAGTGGGGGTGAGCATGGGGAAAGGCATGTGAGTGGCCTGCCACATCCAGGCCGGCGGCAGTGACTTTATGGCACACTCTTCCATAGGATTCCCAGACACATGAAGGCAGCCCTCAAAACCCCCTCAACTTACACTGAGAATCAATGCAAGCATGCTTGCAGTCCCCTCCAGCATCGTAACACAGCTGTGATAGAACCTCATGCAAAGGAGGTTATCTTCACATGTCAGGATGCCGATGCCCTTGAAGGCGAATGGGACGTGCACTTTGGTGCTCAGGAGGAGACAGTATAAGAGGATGGTCTCTTTCACACAGCTCTGCACCACACACAGCGGGATGCTGGTGGCTTGCGATAGCCGCCAGTAGTTCAGTGGCTCCATCCTGACATCGTCTGTAAGGAAAAGGAACATCCTCACTGCCACAGCAAGCAACATTTCCATGCAACATTCATAACCAAATCCCATAGAAAAGGTCCTTTAAAGAAACAGCTCTTGGGGCACAGGTTCTTTTGGAGGAACTCAAGCTGTACCATGACCTTGGCAGTCAGTTCTGCTTCTCCCAGCCTTTTCCCAGGAGCAGGGAGAACACACCCTGCCAGATGTGGGGCCATAAGGGGAAGGTGGCTGCCGCCGTCTCACCAGGGATGATCTCAGTGGGAGACTGGAAGTGCTGCAGCCACTGTGCATCGATGTCCAGGTGAAAGACAGGTCTTCGAACTGTAACAGTACCTTCTTCATGGTGGAACCGCTCTTGGACCACAGCAAAGGCCCCTAGTCCCGCAACCAGGACTCCCTGCACAGGGAAGAGACTGAAAGGCTGACGAGCGTGTACTGTAGAGGCAGCAAAAGTGATGAATGTCGGAGCATGGGGACACTACTCTCTGCCCTTTCCACTCCTGAGGGGCAGTGGGGCAAGATGGGGCTCTCTGGAAAGCTCTGGAAAAGAGCTGTGATCTCTGTTTTACAATCACCTCCACACAGTATTTGCCATCATCCCTTGGCTAGAGAAAAGCCTGGGGATTTATGGCACTGAGGTTAAGCCTGGGACTGATTCCCAAGGATTATCCTTGGCACAGACCTGGAAAAATCCCCCATTTCTCCATTACCTCTCCCCATTCTGATCAGAAGGCAGAGCAAAGCCCTGGGCTGTGCTGAACATCTGCTCAGAGAGCAGCTCTGGATTTGGGTTTCTCTCCCAACTGGCCAAGAAGCTGCTCTGGGCACCTGGGCTGGGCTCGCTGTGCTGTCATGGTACCCTGGGAGGGATTGCTCTGTGGGGCCACTACTCTCAGCAGTACTGAACACCTCCAGGACAAGGGGCACTAGGACACCAGCTCACCTTGCCCAGCTTCAGCTGTTCCAGGATATAAGAAGACACAGCATTCCAGATCACCACAACCTCTGTAAAGGAAGGAAAAGATGTGTCAGGCCAGCCTCTTCACTTCACAGGCCAGCTCCCCACTCAGAGAATGACAGGGGCAGGCATATGCAAACACCTCAGAAAAGCACCACCATGGCTATGGAGCTGAACTTTGCCCTGATTTCAGCCCTTGCTCAGAGCCTCAAGGGGAAATGGGAACATGGGAAGCCAATGGGACATGGGACTGTCCCTGAGCCACATCCTCAAGAAACACCAGCTCCCAGGGGAACCTGGCCTTGGACTACCCTATCACGGGGGTTTGAGCCATGTCTAAAGGAACACAGGGCCTCTGGGCAGCTCTTCTATTGGGACCTGGTTCCCCAGCCACATCCAGCAGGAGCTGCAGTTTTGTGGGATAAAGAAGGTTGTTGTATTGCTAATGAGTGGTAAAGCTCAACAGTAACTTGAGCCAGACATATAAGCCTACAAGGCGCATTATCCTTACATGTAACCAGACTTGGTTGCACAGGAAAACTGTTGTGTCCTGCGGGTATAAAAGGTGGTAAGTACCAAGAATAAATGCCTTTTGTTCTGCACCAGTGAATGAGTCTGCACCTCATTTGCCCCTTCAGCGAGAGAACCCAGGGCAGCCCTGCAACATGGCTTTTTACAGCTTCCAGCCCTGTGTGATACTTTGGGAAGGCATTCCTGAAAGCCTTACCTTTGGCAGAGAGTTGCAGGAGCACTGGGAATGTGGAGACCAGCTCTGAGCTGATGGTCATAGTCCAGCAGCCCTCCATGTTGCTTGCTGATGGCCCTCAGCTCAGAACAAAGGATGGTCTCCCTGGCTCCTCAACCAACAACTCTCTGTGAGGTATCCCTGCTCCTCCACGTGTTAGCGAGGGTCGTTCAGTGCAGCCTTGCTGCCCCTGACCTGACTCCTGGCCACAGAAGGACAGAGTCCCTGAGCAGTGCTCCAGCAGCACCCAGGCCCTGTACGGAAGAGCCGGCGCTGCCCCAAGGATGATATCCTTGTGATGCAGTGCATCGCATTGTGACACTGGCCCGTCACCTGGAACCCTGCTAGGTCACCACCATGGAGAAGGCACAACTTGGGAAAGATGATAGGGATTTCCCTTCCTGTCTAGAGAACCGGTCACCTCACTTCTCTCCATTTTTTTTATTTCCCACAGTTTCTGAGAAATCCATCAGGAATCCCATGGAAGAAAATGAGGCGGAGGGTCTCTAAACTGTGCTTATGCCATAGTTCTGGCCCGGTTTGGCCTAGTTCTGTGATTAATGGGGCTGTGGGACCCATGGACCCACACCTCTGGAAAGGCAGAAGATAGGAAGGGAAAAAGGCAGGGAGGTGGGCCTAAATACAAAACAGAGGCAACGAGCTTTGGGAGAAAAAACTAATATGATAGCAAGATAAGTATGCAAGATAACACAATTCAATACACTATAATTGGAATTGAAGCTAAGAAGTCAAATAAATGAGATCATCCAAAAAGCAAAGGCCTTACTGTAATGCTGTAGGCGGGATGGCTGGGAAGCACACACTGCAGAAACAAGCAGAAAAAGAGACAGGGAAGGCAAAAAAGAGAGTCCATCTCATGAATCCCAGTCAATCTTATCTTTCGCCCCCACTGGAGCATGGAAATGGAACAGCAAAGTCTTCTGGGTGCTGTAGTTCATTCTGTAGTTTCTCTTCTGAGACAGGTACCTGGAACTATCGGCAATCCATGGAACTGGAGCGTTAACTCTTTAAATCCCAGTGCACTACATGATGTTATGGTGTGGAATACCTATAACAAAAACCATAAAACCATGACAGCCCGCAGGAGAGCAGCAGTGTGTGTATACACAGGACAAAAGAGCACGTCTTGGTTGAGGATGTAGCCCAGGCTCTATCATTACATTTCCAAGTCTTTCATTTCAAGAGCCATGACAGCAGGACTACGACATCTGAATGCAGAATGCAGTGCATACAGACGCACACGGTCTCACCTCAGTCAGACTGCAGCCAGTGGGCTGCAGGCCAAGAGTGAGTCTGTGCAGCGCTGCCTATAGAACTGGGCCCTTGGTCTCTTTGCAGCTGCTGAAAAGCAGGAGTACAGCAACTACTTTGCATTGATAGCAGTGTCACCAAAGACAAGGGTAAAATAGTTTGGCACAGAAAAACACTTAAGACAAAGTGATTGTGGCTACTATTGGTTGCTTCAGATTTGCCTTCCTAATTAAAGCTACAAGATTCTAGTAATTGGATAATGTAGAAAATATACACCTGTTTTGAAAGCTCAGGTCTCCTGCAGCACTGTGTAGCTCCTGATCCTGCAGAAACAGCACAGCACACAAATCCTCTTTTCTCTTTTCTCTGCTACAGAGTGTTGGAAATATCCAAACAATTTATCAGGATGGTATCTCTGATAAAGCAGATTTTATTCACAGTTGCAATGGCGGGCCTCCTGCAAGCAGAAAATAGGGATTGAAAGAAAGGAAAACACGATGAAAGTGACACAGTTGATACTCTGCTGATATAGCAGAAGTATGAAATGGGGAACAGAAGAACAAACTTTTAAGAAGCTATACATCAATGCAATGCTGTGAATTGCTTTGGGCTCCCTCAGCCCAAGCACAGCACTGATGGTCTATAGCAGATGGAGGCACTGCAGCTCCTCTGTCTCTGCCCAGCCCTGTAGGATTTCACAACAACTGATGGGCCAGGGCAGGCCTCTGACTCGTGGATGGACCTTTGGACATATTCAGTCCCAGAATGACAGAATCACAGACTGGTGGATGTAAGGAGGAGCCTCTGGGGTTCACTTCATCCAGCCATGTCCAACCAGTGGCACAGCCCAGTCTGTCCTGCAGCCCTGCCGCCATCCCCCACCCCAAACCATCATTGCAGTGGTTCTACCCCACCAAGTAACTTGGCCACAGTCAACAATTAAGATGTTGAAGAGCACCGGACCCAAGAGGGACCCATGGCAGACACTACTTGTGACCAGCCTTCACTTGGACACAGAGCCACTGACAGCTCTGGCCGCGACCATCCAACCTAGTTCTTATCCTTGTTTTGCTTCATGAGGCCTTTCTCTTGTAAAGTGCCAGATTTGCTTTTGCTCGTAATTATTTATACATCCTTAATATTATCTGACTTTATTTTGCATGCCACCATCATTGTAAGAGTACATTTATTTTTGAACTTCCATTTTTACCCACCTTGTTTTTTGCTTGAACACGCTGCACAACGAACAAGCTGTCTCTAAAAAGAACTAACTGCTCCTCCAAGATGAACAACCTCGTGATGTTGTCATACAAAATAGGGGAAGAAAACTCTCTACCTTCAACGTGGTGTTAGAAAACCAACATTCCTTATTTCCTCACGATATGTACCAGGCAACTTGATAAATCAAGGACGTGCTCTCGCAGTTCAGATTCTACACTTAAAGTTAAGACATAGATATGTATCTATTGCCATGCATATTCACTCTTTTCCAAGAGCTCAGTATAAGCTCGTATCCTTCTGGACATGCAGAGACTGCATCCAAAGCAATTGTATGCCCTGTTTCCTCTGCTTTATTTCTCCTTCAGCTTCATCATAGCAACTTTTCCTCCAACCTTGAGCTGTTTTTCTCCCTTTTGGCAAATTTCCATTGCTTGTTATGCCATAATGAGCAACTTTCTGTCTTGGTGCACTATAAACCATGTGAAATCCAGGAAAAAAATCCTTGTGTGGATGCAAAGATAAAGGTCTATCGTGACTCCCCAGGGCTTCTGCGAAGCAGGACAGTTGAGAAACACAAGGCTGTTTGCACATTAAGAAAAACATAACCGGCAAGTTTTAGAACTAGCATTCACTGATTTCCTTTGCAAACATAACGTATCGGTCCTGAAATTAATCTACCGGTCGGTATCACTAAAGCAGCCTGTATCAATGCACACTGCGGGCCGGGAACCACGCCCCACGGCCGCACCCCCGCATCAGTGCCCCGCCGCGATACCCCGGAAGCGCCGGGCCCCACGCGGTGCGGAAGTAGCGGCGGAAGTGGCGGCCTGGCGGCGACACGTGACAGCCGGCACGTGACAACAGGCGGCACGTGACTGGGGCAAGATGGCGGCCTTCCCGTGGTGAGGCTCCGGGACCGCCGTCCCCTCGAGGGGTGTTGGGGGAGGGCGGGGTTGCGGCCGCGTCTCGGATCCTGGGTCTCCACTGAGTCGTGAGGGTCGGTCTTCAGCGTCAGTGTGCCCGCAGCTCAGGGGCTGCAGTGCTGATGCGGAAGACGCTCCCTTTACGCGGATGGGCGGTGGGGAGCGGCGTCCGCCTCGCCCTCAGGAAGAGAAAATCCGGCGGGGCGTCCCTGCCGCCGTCGTCTGCGGCTTTGTGGGTTTTTATTTTCCCGAAGTTAGCAAGGAAATTAGATGAGGATGGTTCGCTTTTTGCTTGATTTGATGATGGCGCTGTGGCTGGTGCCGCTCTCTCGGAAGGAGCGGGTGAGGTACAGCAGCGCCCGGGGGCGTCACTGTTGGCCCCCAGCAGGGCGGGCCTGTGGCCGGGCTGGGACACGTGAGCTCTCTCTGGTAGTGAGGGAAGGTGTTTGTAGTTATTTTTTTCTCCTCCAAAACTGTTCTGCTTTCCCAGCGAGCTGTTGTTTTGTTTTGAAAGACCTGCTGCAGCCAAGTTACAGTAGTAATTAACAAGCCATCAGCTGAGGACAGTGTCGAATTGAGGAAAATGCAGGAGCTAGTGGTAATTAGTGGGCTGATTAGGTGTTCCCTTGTGTGTGTGTATATATAAAATACTTTGTGCTGCAGGTAACTTAAAACTTGTTTTGCCATAGGTAAGAAAAAGCATGTCTGTAAGGCATCAAGTGACTGTCAGCACTGCTACTATTTGCTGGGGTTGGATCCTGTGTAGTTGGTGACCCTGTAGAAACCAAACAGATTAAGTATGGCTGTAAACCCGAGCCTGTGATGGGCTGTGTGCCTAGAGAATGTCAGTGCTGGGGGGGAAGGGAGAGGTTCTTACTGGACAGGAGGGGGGCTGGCAGTCTGGCTGGTGCTCAAGACTGATGCCACATGCAGTGATCCTTGTGTGTGGAAAAAGGCTCAGAGCTGCTGGGGAATCTGCCTGGAGCCTGAGGTGCGTCTTGTTGAGTGCACCAGAAATGAAACCTAGCTTGGTGTGGCTCATGGTGTTTTTTCTTTTTCTTTTCTTGTGGAAGTTTGCTGTGAAGCTGTTCACTGAGATTGGAAAGCTCAAAGCAGGCTCCTCTGATCCCTGTGCTGGTTATGGTGCGAGTTGTGCTAAGCACTTTATAATATTTTAAATGTACTTTGTATAGGGCTATTGTAGGGCAAACAGCTTTTCTTCATTGCCATGTGTGCTTGTCCACTGATACCTTACGTGACTATGAGAATACAATTGGTACTCTCTGGGAATGGTATGCCATGTGTGAGCTGTGAGCAGTTTACTTCTCTACCACTGATTGGGACAAATATATAAGGAAGAGGTATGGAAATACTGGCAGAGCTGTGACAGAGCAATAGAAATATGGCGTTCTCCCTTTTCTGCCTTCCTACTTTGTCAAACACACTTTAAAAGCATGCTTATGTATATATTTCTGTTTCAGCAATTAAAAATGTAGGGTGGAGGTTCTGTTTTACAAAAGAGCAGTGTCCTTAAGCTGTGGTTGATAAAATGGTGTGTATTGTTAGTTCCTAGTGGCAACGTGGTTTTACTCAAATACTTTTATTTATGTTATTTTCAGGAGTCAAGTTGTTTTCTTTATTAGAAGAGACCATAGTTTTCACGACACTTTCTTAAATTCAGATCAAAATATTGATATTGTTATGTTTTTTTCCCACTTGATGGCATACTTTATTTTCATAGGAGATATAAAGCTTATCTGCCACATAAGTATATAAGTACTTGTATTTTTTTTTTCCCCTCATCATTCTGCTTTTTCAATTTTTCTTATGAGTACAATGAACAGATGGAGACAGATTTCCCAGGGAAGGACTTTGTAGCAATGCAAGTTAATCTGTGTAGTCCATCATTATATCTGAGCATGATCACTTAGATTTCTTCCCTTGTGTTTTCACACCTACCATTTCCCTTCACTCAGTTTAAGAGATGTGTTTAATTATCTCCATCTGCCTGTCTCATTACTTTTGCTCTGTTAAACTGTTCTTTCTGCACTCATTGAAAAGAGAACCCAACTGCAGAATGCAACTGAATGCTTGCAAGTAAAATGTTTTCAGTTTACGTAAAAAAGAAAATTTTTAGTATACATTCTGACTTCTTTTCCACTAGATATTTCTTTTTGTAAATGTAAATGCATCTATATAAATATATACTTCTCTGTTCATAAGTGATTATTTATATGCGTACATACTTACTTTTTAATCTTGCTTTTTAGGCATGCAAGATCAAGAAATTATGTTTCAGAATCTGACGTCTGCAAACTAGAATCTGTGCCCTTGGATTTTGGTGACTACCATCCACTAAAACCCATTACAGTGAGTTTCTTTTTCTGTGTTCGGAAAATGAACGTGTAATAAAACTGATTGTGTTCCTTCTCTTAAAATTAAAAGGCTTTGGAATTGGTGGCGGTGCTACTGAAGTGGCCTTCTGTGTTTGTGACCTGTTGTTTTAGAGGTGTCAAGGTTTAATCTGTTCATCCTTTACAGAAATTTGCTGGTATTACTGACTTCAAAAATGATCTTTTCCTGATAGATAGAGCATTTCAACTCATGGGTTTTCTTGATTCCATTAAGTGCTGAATAATGAATAAGTTGAAAATCAAATAATTGCATCACAGATAACCTGTATCATGGCTTGACATAAGATTTGTTTTGGTTTACCTTCCAGTCAGTTGTATGCTTTAAAACATTTAAACTTAAATGTATGAAAAGTTTTTTAAAGTATGGGTATACAAAAAGAGAAATCCAGTTTCAATGAGATGATAGCAGTATGCTCAGTTTTTGTTGTTCAGCCTGATACCACATAGTCTGGGACGTCCCTCTGGCCATTTTGGGTCAGCTGCCCTGGTTCTGTCCTCTTCCAGCTTCTTGTGCACCCTAACTCCTTGCTGTCAGGGCAGTGCATGAAGCTGGCAAATCCTTGACTCAGTATAAGCCTGGCTCTGCACCATCTTAAACATTGGTGTGTTATCAACATTTTTCTCATCCTAAATCCAAAACACATTACAGCTATCAGCAGCTATCAGGCAAAAAATTAACCCTGTCCCATTCAAAACCAATAGACAGGAAATAGCAAGGAAGAAGTTGAAAGAGAGGAAAGAAATAAAATAGAGGTACTAGAAATAAATTTAGAATGAGTGTTCTTAGAGTTTTGTAGACTCAGAATTGAAAGAAAAGATGTAGTGGAAATGCCTCTGGATTCAGAAGTGTGCTTCTACTTACATGCAGTAGTTGCTAAAGACTTTGTGGTAGATGAAACCTTGCTTTCTTTGCACTATTTTAGTTAATGTAGTCTAAAGTGCTTCATTAAAGAAGATGGGGGAAGACTTTTTTTTTTTAACAGGTTTTGAACTTTTCCAGGTTACCGAATCCAAGACCAAGAAAATGAGCCGAAAAGGAAGTACTTCTTCTACCTCTTCTTCTTCTTCTAGTTCTATGATGGACCCATTGAGCAGTGTGTTGGATGGTACCGATCCCTTGTCACTATTTGCAGCAGCTGCAGATCCTTTGACTACTCCTGCTTCTATGGTAATACTGTAGGACACCTAACTAAATAAAGAGAACCAAACAACAAAGCCAGCCATGAATAAAATATTTGTCTCACCAATTAGAAGCTTAATGTTAAGCTTAGAGAATATACTATACTAATAGAATGAAGTATTTCCATTTGTGGTTGGTGTTGACATATATTTTTAATATTGTAACTGTGGAAAGATCAGTAAGCACTTGAAGCATTAAATTGACCTTTATCAGCCTTCTTTTTTTTTTTTTCAGATTTATTAAAATGTATTTAACATGTGCTCTCATGCTGTCCTCATAGGATGGTGTACGAAAGAAACGGGATAAAGATGACAGTTCAGCACTAGGAAGTGACTTTGAACAATGGTCAAGCAAACGCGGTGAAATCCTTGCTAAATACACAACAACTGAGAAGCTCTCTATTGTAAGTGGAAGCTCCTCCAATTTTGTTTATTATTTATCTGTTTATTATTATCCTATAATGGATTGTAGATGCCACTGTTTTGTAACAATTTCCTGAGTAAATATTGCATGTTTTAATGTTGTGAGCTGTGGTACACCTTTCTGTCACTTCTGATTGTTTAGGAACTGAGACCAAAAGTCTGTTGAGCCATCATTTTATTGTTTTCTAATAATAGAAATAACTTGTAGCTTCAGGTCCACTTCTAACTTGTTAGAGTCTTCATTAGCATTGTATTATCTTGTGCATTCTTGGAATGCTGGTGAGTATGTGTTCTCTGAAAATTTGTGTTTTCTGCTTCTTCACAGAATCTGTACATGGGATCTGAAAAAGGTAAACAGTTTCTTTGTATCTAACAGTTTTCCTTGAAGTAGGGTGCGAGTGATGGACTTGTGATCAAGAATAGTTGAAATGTAATCTTGCCCTAACATATGCTTGGTTGTATGCTGTTTTTCTGTCAGTAAGACTTCAGCTGGATTTTTACTTAAAATAATTTCTGAAGACAAAACATCCACCTTGTCTCTTATTCCTGTAAGCTAATGAATTCATGTGTGAGAAACACTCAGAGTCTAAAATTTTAGGTTAGGTAAAGATCTTAGAGATAGCAAAGTTTTTATTCGTTATTGCAATAACGTGCCTACGCCCCCTATTGGCAAGGGAGGAATTGTGCACCGGTCAGCGAAATCCATTCCATTCTGTGCCCTAAATCCAACGCAGGTAATGCTCTCCTGGCACTTGCTCATTGGTTGAGCGTCGCAGTTTGCAATCTCCCCAGCGCTGTTGCTATGATACATTTCCATATAAGGTCTGTTACCAATCTGTTGTTTTTTGGTATGTTTTGTACTTTCCTATGGAGATAGGAGGGCAGTGAATTTCAGGTGTGAGCACATTCATTCTATCCTGTGCTAGGCTCTCCCCACCCTGCATATTTACCTTTATCTTGTGCCTATCTCAATTCTACCCAAGTCAGAACACCCTCAGTCTTAACTTTTTACTCTGTTCAGCAACTTTCTTAGTGGAAGAAAAACAACTGTTTTACAAGAGGGTTAGAAGTTCAGTAAAGGCCTACAGTGCATACAGAAAATACTGGAAACTTCTACTGCAAAAACACAATCTACATCTCACACATGATTATGTGTTATGGAAAAAAATGTAATTCACTACCCCTCGTTGTAGCTTAAAACTTTCTTGTATTTAAAATTAATAATAATGTTTTGAGATATTGTTTATCAACTCTTCTACTTGCTGGAAGGGAAAGCAAACAAATCCCATAGGAGTTTATTCAGTTACTCTCTTTACATGAAAGGGAAATAATTTCAGCTAAGTGTTGAAAAAGGAACCAAATCTTAAATTTTTTATCATGTTTTCTTCTGAAGCAAATCTGGGCTAAGTAGTCATTGCTGATTGCATATTAAATCAGGATTCTTATGCATGAGTACGCATGCAGCATTTAAGCTTCTGCAAAAAAATGAAATACTTTGGATTGAGAATGGTCAAACTGGAGCAACGTGTCCAAAGAGGGCGTGAAATCTCCATCTTAAATATTGTTAAATTGGTTGGATAGTCTGTTATAACCTGCTATAACTTCAAAATCAGGAGTGAAGTTGATTTTTCTAACATAAATTTTCTAACATAAATTATCCTATGGTTCTGTCCTTACCAACAAAAGTTGTATATTCAAAACAGAGGTTGGATCAAATGTTTGCTTTCAGTAATAACTACCAAATGGATGAAACCACCTGTGTTCTGTCACTGAAGTTGTCTGAGTTTGTCAGGCTCCTTCAGATTTGTTTCCCTTTTGAAGTCCAAGTGTTTAAGTGTTAAGCTCAAACATATCATCTTTTATAGGAAAAGCTACAACTAGTGGCTCAGCGGTTTCTGAAAAAGTGAGGACGAGGTTAGAAGAACTGGATGATCTGGAAGAGGTGGGAAAGTTTCTGGTTCAATTACATCATTCTAAAAGTGAAATAAGCTTGTAATTAAGACTTCATAGATTTTTTTTTTTTTAAATAAGATTATTGTAATTCTGCAGGTGAGCATAACCATAAGCATAACCTGTTTTTAGATAAATCTAATTTTCATGGGACTACTCCAGTAACTTCAGTCTTTAGAAGATTGAGGACAGATCATATTCTTATATCATTACAGAGTTTGTGATCCAGAAATTAATTTAATCTATCAGTGTTTCTTCACCTTAATACTGCTTATGGCTTGCAATTGCTTTAGAGTTCATGGAGCTTTACAGCCATGATGTCAGATAATTTGGTCTACTCCCATTGCAGAGGCTGTGTGCTGTTTACCTGACTGTAATTAAAGTTATGTTTGCATGCTTTACTGAAACAATGAATATTCAAATTATTCTCAAAGTGCAGTATTTTACTGAGTATGGATGAAACATTAGTTTCCTAAAACCTGAATCTCTAGGTTACTTCTACTGTGGCTTTGGATAATGTTGTTTTGAAGCCTCCTAACAAGCTTCAGTTTGCCATTTGCCTTAGCAAGCACAATTCTGATGGTCACACAATGGATTCTTTGAGTAGAAAAATACAGTATCCCTTATCAGAAAGTAATGTGTACCATTGTGTGAAACTGTAGCTGCATTAATTATGTTTTTTTCCTCTTCATCTATAATTGTTCTTTTTTACTGATGATTGTTCCTAGACATTTAGATTATGAAATCTGTTTTGTAGTGCAGCTTGGTATATTGGTCAGAATTAATTCTAAAAGCAGTTTTAATGTCACTGCCATTTCTACTAACAACTGTTCCAGAAACTACTTCTGGTCTTCTGAATGCATTTATAACCACCCATTTCCTAAAACTTAAATAATTATTTTGCCTTCCAGTGCGTTACTAGCTCATTTCTGATATGCAAGCTTTTTATAAGGTCTGTAAGTTTGATGATGATCTCTGTCTTGATGTTTGCTCTGTAGTTGAAAAAGTAAGATTGTAAAGTTTAAAAGAAGACTGTCAAGTACTTGAGATTTAGGCTTATTTTTCTTTGGTTTTGCTTTTTTTATAATTGCTACAATACAACTTTCTTGCTGTCAAGAAACTTCTTAGGACCTTACTGGCAAAACATGTTTCGTTTGTCTCTTATGCTGCTGCTACATAGGTCCTAGTACGAATCTGTATAGTGTTAAGATAGCAATTATATATATAATAGTGTACTGCTGAAATAGTCTGATTTCTGATCTTGCAGACTATGTTTGAGTACCAGCATGGGTCTTGAAAACCATGTGATGCATCCTCGTGTAAATGCCTGAGGTATAGATGGTGCAAAGTTAAGGGAGAATAAGGGATTTTTTTCTTTCTCCCCTCAGTGATCTGACTCTGCTTTTCCCCTTCTCTCTCTCTCTCTCACTAAGTCTTGTGTTTTCTTGTCAGGGGTCACAGAAAGAGTTGTTGAACTTGACTCAGCAGGATTATATGAATCGAATTGAAGAACTCAACCAGTCTTTGAAGGATGCTTGGTCCTCTGATCAGAAAGTAAAAGCTCTGAAAATAGTCATTCAGGTCAGTTTTAAGTGGTTTTCTTCTGTACAGTTCTGGTGGGTTTGGTGGTGTGACTTGTCTGATTTCTTTCAAGAGAAAAATAGAGTTTCTGTTAGTTTTCTATTACTTTATTATATTCCTCACTGAAACTCATTTCTTTTGGAATTTTATGACTTCTGACAACAGTTTAAAATAACTTGTTATAGTGAAATCTCTGGGGTTTATTGAAATACTACAAGGAGGAAACTCTTACGTGAATTCTATAATCTTTAGATGCTGCTTGATGATCAGTCAGAAGTGGTATACCTACTTCTAAAGAAGCTTCCAGTACACATGCATTTGTTTGTACACAAGTTCACACACGTTTTTATGGCCTGATGTAGTATGGCAATGAATGACTGCAGGGTAAAAAAAAAAAAAGTAGGATGACTTTTAGGTTTTCATTTCAAAACCACTTATGAAAGGAGCGTGCATTTCTTGATATCTTCTGTCAAAAATTTGAGTATTTACAGTTTGTCTCAAATAGTACTGAACCAACTGCTGCTATTTCTCTTTTTCAAAACTGTTAGTGTGTTTCAGACTATATATTAACTAAGGGAAACTGTTTCATGTTGTTCTAATACTGTACAAGATGGAAGAGACCACAGTCTGCTTACTGGAATTTTGGTTCCAGTGTTCTGGAAAATAGATTGTTCAGAGAAAGCTTTTGGAATGGCAATTACTTTGTTCAGAGTGTCAAACCAAACAGGATTACTGTCAAGACAAGTTTGTTTATGCTGCCTGGTAAAGGGGTGGTTAAATTCAAACTTTCTTCTGTTACTCCTGAATAAATTAAAGCAGTCAGTTTCATAATATTCTGAAAGAGAACCTTGAGTTTTCTGAATTACTGGATGGTATTTGATTGTGCTTCACGCTATGCAGTGTAGCTATACCTTAAGGTCTTGTAGCTGTGGAACTTTATCTTGCAATCCTAACATTTCTCAAGATGACAGGTATTCCAGTGTTAAAATTAGAGCTGGCTGGAAAGATGGAGGTTTACTTCTCTGTCTCTACCTGTAAGATGGTTCATGTTGCCATAAGTTATGTTAACGGTTATTCCCAGAGGTAGGAAGAGAATAAACATTTGTGCTCAGTTTGCTAGTATAAATGGAACATAAATGGAATGTATGCTTCAGCAACTTGGCATACCTGAAATCTGCCTTTTCTCAGGTTTTTTGGAATGAAAGCATAGGAAAAACTAACCCACGTACTCTTGTACTGTACTGGTTTAATACTTTTTTTCTTCAATCATTTTACTGCAATAACACTCTAAGATGCTGATCTCATCATGTTTATGTTGTCTTATCAGTCCTTCTCATACCAGGCACGGATCTGATAGCTTAGGTCTTAAGGGCTAAACATGTAACAGCTAGGGAAAGATAAAGGATAGGATATCATTAATACAATCATGCTGGGATGGAGTTACCTTAGTACTGTATTTGTATGTGTAAGAAATTATTCAGAAGTAGTAATTGCAGCTTGCCACCTGTTTGCTTATTATTAGCTCTTAATCTCTGTGGACATAAATCTTAAGGGCATAAAGTGATGTGTTTGAGGATTTTGATTAAGGTATGTGGGATGGGATTTCCATTAAAAAGAGTGGACAAAAAAAGGATGTGAAAATGTATCTGGTAAAAGATAAGAGTAAATAATGTGTCATTAATACTTTCCTAAGGCATGGAATTTTTCTTTCTTATTTTCTTCCTCCCTCTCCCAGTGCAGTAATAGCTTTTTGAAGCATCAGTGTTTTTCTCCATCCAAACTTACTAAGGGAATAGAATGACCTGATTTAGGACCATTGCAAACTATTGTTCAGTTGTTAAAAATGTCATTTCTTTTTAACTTGTCTGCCATCTTTCTGTGTGGTTCATTTGAGGTGATGAGCTTTTTAGAGGGGCTCAGAGGGGAATGAGATAATTAAATGTTCTCTTGTTTGGCATGGCCTTAAAAAAAAAAAAAAAAAAAGCCACAGGCAGAGTGCATCAGAGGAGATAATGACATCTTCTTAAAAGCTGCAAAAGTGATGTAATGCTAATAGTCATCAGGTGGATTTATGTTAAGTCAGGATGTTATTTTTCATGCTGGATACTCTCGTGAAAACAGCAGTAACTTTAGCTTAAATTGTGGTAAAGACAATAAAGGAAATGAAAAACAGATTAGGGGAGATCAGAAAATGATGCATGACTTAAAGTGACTCGTTCTATTGTAATAATACGAGATCAGCAAATTATTCTGGAGAAGTCACAGCTTTGTGAAGTGTGCGAATGTTTTTATTGGAAGGCAGCATGGAGTCTTTGGAGGAGGGGGAAAAAAGGACTCCAAGGCATATATTAATAATTTGTGCATTAATATTTTTAGTATTCTTTTACAAATGGTGTCGCTAATGTTTTTCAGGTAAGGTGGTTTCTAAGATGGGGTTCAGTCCTTCATTTTAGGAAAGTAATATCAAAATTGAGTATGCTTATCTTGGTGGTGTCTGTATATTATTCACTTTGTGTTGGAATTTTGTACAGCAGATGCACATAATTAATGGAAAGACTGGTAAGAATGAGATGGGTATTGGGTTAATTAATGTGAACATCAAAATCCTATCATAAAGGAGTCTAAAAAAAGTAATTCTATGTTTAGGAAACAGGATGGGGTAGAAATCTAACTGTTTTGCTGATTCTTCCTAGTAAAGAGTATAACTTTAAGTCTTGTATCCTCTTAATGAACTAAGTAGCTTCCTTGACATCAGGCTGTGATTATATAAATATATATAGCCTATAACTATTAGTATAACGCGCTCGTTCTTACCACAGAATGAGCAAGTTTGACCTTTTTTGTTACTGTTTTCAGAAGTGGATACTGGGTAGGAAAAAATGATTTAATTTGAATGTTACGATTATCTTGATTTCAAAACTAATTTATATGTTCTTTTATTTAGATGGGGGGTGAACACGGCCTTCGTTCTCTGTGAGAGCTTTAAGGAGCTTGAGTGCAGGAAGAGTTCTGGTTATTAAGGCAGGACCTGAATTTATAGCCCCGTAGCTGCATGTGAATTCCTCAAGTGCCTTAGACAAGATAAGCTAAGCTACTTACTCAGAGTAACCTGAAATAAGTTGATTGTGAGTGTGGGCTCTAGTGGCAGTGGTAAGCGTTTGGTATTTGGAGGTACTGAACAGCAACTGAATTGCCTTTCTCTGGAGGTGCCCTGCTGCCCGTGCAGTAGGGCCCTTTCTGCTTTGGGTGTGAGATGTGAATGCACACTTGCCTGTCCTTCTGGTGCGCGGTTGTTCTTTCCTGATATTAAAGAGACAAAGCACACCCTTCATCAAAGCTTGTTTGAATGTTATGATCGTGGGATGTCAGACTGCTATGTGAATTTCTGGAATATAAAAAAACTTGCAGTTTTTTTACTTATTCCACTGAGACTGCTGAAGGGATGGAGGTCACAGAGACTCCTGTGCTGCTCAGTCTTACACAGAGAGCAGAGGCCACATCTGGCTGATGCTGGGATGAGGTGGGACTGTCCCACAGTCATATGCCTCTTCAGGTGGAAGCTGATTCATTCTGAATAGACCTCTGCCAAAGCTTTTGACTGATATGAACCAGTTGGTCTGTTTCCAAAAGGTTTGAACTGGTCATGTGAACTGCAAAGATTTGTTTAAAAGCTCATTTGCTAAATTTTTAACATTTTTGCTTAGTTTATTATCAGGTTTTGTGTTTCATGTGTGGGGCTTAAGTTGAGGTTGAGAAATTAGAAAACATCCCTTTTTAGAAAGGAGTCTCTTTATGCTGCTTCTGGAATAGAACTTGTCTGAATAAATGCACAGGTCTGCAGAGTCAGCTGAAGTTCTGCATTATGGATTACCCTGTGTAAAGGAAAAACAGCTCTGTGACTAACACTGTTGAAAGTGAAGAATAATCTGAAAAATAGAGTACCGTGGTTGGTTATTTTAAAGTTTCTTCTTTTTGCTGGGAAACTGTTATTGTTGGTTCCTTGCATCTGTAGGTATTGATTTGTTCCAATCTGAGTGGAACAAAAGCATGAATTTGAATTGTCATCTATTTTTCTTTTCCCTTTCTAGTGTTCAAAGCTTCTTTCAGACACAACAGTAATCCAGTTTTATCCAAGTAAATTTGTCTTAATTACAGATATACTTGATACTTTCGGTAAGTACAGTGGTTTTGTGTTGGGTGGTGGTGGTTTGTTTGTTTTGTTTTGTTTAAAAGTAAATTACCCTAAAAGCGCTGTAATGATTCTCTTTCAACAGTAAATATTTTTCCAACATACACATTTGAAACCACTGATATAAATGTATTTTATAGTTGTTCAAAAACTCGTATCAGTGAAGACTTTAATATAAAAATATTTTATTTTGGAGTAGTTCTGTGTTTTATGTGATAGTGAATGTCCACAACAAAACCTTGGGGAAAACCCATGATCTCTGAATTTCAGCATTTAAAATGCTGTAGTTATTAAGAAAATATCTCATTTCTGGCAGCTTCCTGAGTCTAAATATTTCATTTTTTGTACTTGAAGTCTGATAATTCTTCTTTAGCTGAGCAGGGACCATGAAGTGATCTAAATGTTACTGAGTTATTTTAGTTTTCTTATTTTTAAATGACCCTTCATATGAAACTGTCATCTACTTAATGTTATTCTATTGTTTTTCTACTGTGTTATGGAAGAGTCTTGTAGCGGTTGAAGTTCAAGGGCACTGATATCTGCCAGGATATGCTACTATATAGAGCAATTGTTTTGTCAGGTCTTGCTTCCTCTTTGCTCTTTCCTGCTTTCAGTGAAGTTGCTGAAGATAACATAATATCCTGACCCATCAAAGGCAGCACACTAGCTGTCCTTTCTGGCCTGGGAGAGACCTGACCTGGATGCATCTTCTGCACTTTATGGAGACACATAAATGTTTTACAGTGTGCAAAATGCTAAATGCTGACTACTGTTGCTTCAGTCTCACTAGAGGGCAGCATTATGTTAGCATTCTATAAGGTTTCTTATGGGTGATTTCAGCGTACGTTAACACTTCGTGTGCTACAGTTTGTTAAAAATGTTTATTGGGGTTTTTTTGTTTGCTTGTTTTAACCAGGTAAACTAGTGTATGAAAGGATTCTGTCAATGTGCATGGACAATCGTGTCTCTTTATCAGGTAGCTTTGTTTTGTTTTTCTTCTGAATGTTCTGTGGAATAAATCATATCTAAACCGATTTGAGAAAAGTTAACCAGGACCCCTGCCTTTATCTCTTACAAAACCAGTTCTGCTTTGGATCTAGTAAATTTTAGTTCTAAATAAAGTAAAGCATCCATTGCTTGTAACTTCAACCATTCACAGTGTTTTTGCAAGTTCACCTTTTAGCTGTGAAGAACACATCTGAAGTGTAATAAAATGTGCCTGTGGTTTTGGTCTTGTTAAATGTAAACTGGGTCTTCCAGAGACTTGAGTTCACAAAGGATCATTTCTAAGCACAGGGAGAGTAAAATATGAATTGCCAAATTACATGAGGGAAGATTTTTTTTTTTCTAATAGAAAAAAGCTTAAAAAAATAAAAAATAATAATAATAAAAAAAAACAACAGAAAAAAGCTAATAGCATGTGCCGTCATCTTAAAGTACTGCTTTCTAATAGTTTAATTTTATAAATTTAACAGACAAAACTGAGAGGCTTAGTTTTCAGTAAATAGATGTTTTTGTTAATAGTTCTGCTTTCATTAAGGAAGAATTTTGGAAGAAGGAGCAGGTGGGTGTTTGCTTTACTAAACCAGTGTGGTCTTCTGAAATCTGGCCCTTCTCATTTTTTTTAGTTGAAGTTCCAACCTGAGTGTAAAAGTGTATATTTAGCAATTATGATACAGTGTATTTAGTATCTGTACATGACATATAAAACATTTTTCTTATGTAGTGGGCACTGCAGTGGTAATACTGGGTTGGAGTTAGATCCATAAGGTTTGAGCCAGCAGCCTGAAAACAGCTGATACTTAATGAACTTGCATAAAGTACTTAAAATATTTCTGCTTGTTGCAGAAGTGAGAAACTGTCCTTATAAACATTAGTAAAAGCAGACAGTTCCTGTATCACAGCTCAATCCCTGAGCACAATAACCTTCTTCTGGAGGGGTGAGCTCGTGCTGCAGTGATGCTGGGAGAACCGCAGGTGGGAGCTCCTGGAGCAGCTCTAAAAGCATGGGGAGAAGGAACATCTTCCTACTTGCCATGCATGCCTTTGTGAACCCCAGGGGGTTTCCGGCCCAGCCTCTCTAGCCTCCACATTGATCAAGAGCTCCTTTGATCTTAGCTCAGGAAGAACTGCTTGCTCTACTGCAGTATAACCTGCATCTATCCTGTGGCTTCTCTAGCCTAGGAAGTGGGGCACTTTCATGTGGAACAAGATCTTCCCTCTTTCTGAGGGCATGGATAAGACAGCACTGGTGTTCTAAAAATGTTTCACAAGGAGTTCATAAGCAGATATTTGCCGCAGAAGCTGCTTGTTTAACCTTATTCTCTGTGGACTTGTCCTTCCCAACCATCTGGGATCTGGGGGATCCCAGAAGCCTGTTTTGTCTTCTGATTCAAGTAACTTAGAGAAAGAAGAGGCATGCAATTGTGTGCCCAGCTGACCAGTGCACTATCCCTGTAACCCATCTGTTCCACGTCAGGGTGGCAGCTTTTTCCTGCTGGCAGCTGATATATGTGTAGCCCCAGAGCTCGTGCAAAGACTGCACTGCAGTGTTGGATGTTTAGCGTGCAAGAACAAGTGTTGTGTCTGTGTCTGATATTTCCTGCTCCTCCTTCCAAGATCATTTTTAAAAATTTTAAAAAATTAGACTTTAAAAGTCAAGAATTTGAATGCTAGAACATAATTTACCATCTATATGTGTATGCATGCTTTATATAAAAGCAGAATAAGAAATAATGGTTATTGGGGAGGCAGGGGTTAGATTTTCTCAAACACTGGAGCTAAGATTAGTTTTGAGTGCTTGACTTCAGCTTGGATTGAAATGTTATGTAACACAAGTTGGAAGCTCTAGTTGCCTTTTCTAGCTGCACACCTACTCAGTTCTTACTACTGTAAGAAATAGTGGAGAATCAAACATAATAGTTTATTATGCTGTGCTTAACTTCTTGTTGAAAGAATACAATTTTAAATCTGGAATGAAAAGCAACTTGCTTCCAGGAAGAATGTAACTATTTCTGGGTTGTTGTTTCTTTTCCCCAGATAATTTTTCTCCAGAGACTGTTAATGATACTGCTAAAGAGACTTGCTTAAACTGGTTTTTCAAGATTGCTTCAATCAGAGAACTCATTCCTAGATTGTATCCTTGTCAAATGAGGCTGTCAGAACACATCTGCAGGTTTTTCGGCAGACTTTTCCAAACATGAACATATTTACTGCAATAAAACCCACAGTAATCTGTGTTTATACTGGCTGTTTTCTTTGTTTTGAGCTGCACATCTTAAAATTTAAGTCATACCTGATACTCAACTGAAAGCTGAATTATTGGCTGTGAATAGCATGGCAGTTATAGAGAAGAGCTTGAGGATAAATGAAAATCTTACAGACAAATTGTAAAGAATAATAAAGCATAGTGAAGTTAATTGCAAAACATCTTGAAGCGTGTTTGGTATATAATGTTGAAGTTTATTTTTAAATGGCTTATACATTAGTTTTGTTCCTTAACTTGGCTTCTTTCTAGTTACGTGGAAGCAGCAATACTGAAGTGCAATAAATTCCTATCTAAAACGTAAGAGTATATGCTAAGTGTGGGAAGAAAGGGAATGGTTGAGCTTACAAGCTACTTTATGGGGTTAAGTGTGCACATTCCATCATTAGCAGTGGATAGGGTGTTAATAAGTCTTTGAAGAAGCAGTGCTGAGTTTTTGATGTTTGTGGTGAGAATGCCATGGAATAAATGCAAGGTGGACTGTGGTACAAATTGGAATGCAGCAATGCTTGTGAGTTTGGAATATATCTATAATTATGACATCCAAGAGTTTACAAATAAAAAAAATCTCACCACAGAACAGTGACTTTACATGATGGAGAAGAAAGATTGTTGGTACTACGAAAGAGGCAAAAAAGAAGGAAAACTGAAAGGAAAATACTGATGTTAGCTTAATAGAGACAGAGCTGGAAAAACAACTTGGGAGCAACAATAGTCTTGGCTTAAGTTTCATATGTTGCCAAACAGTGTCAATTGCTGAGCTGAAAATGTTCTTTCACATGTAATTGTCCTTCTCAGTTAAATTTTAAAATGAGAATGATTAGCCAAATTGCTACTGCAGGGACAGCTTCATTACCACTATAAGGCACTTCTTGTGCTGGAATTGATGGGCCTCATCTCCCGGCACTTGTACAGCTCAGTCAAAAAGAACCTGTGGGAAAATGAGATATTCAAGGAGTTCTGGCAGTACTTGAGTTGCTTTTTGTCCACACTGAATTACAGTACTGCTAGAGCTCTGCTGTTTCTCCAAAGCAGAGAAGGTTTTTGCTTGCACTTGTGTTTCTACAATCCAAGTACACAAACCTGGATTTTTGGACTGCTCCTAATGGCAAATGCTGCAGTTCAAATACAGAGTATATGTTACTAATGTTAAATTTTCTTCTGAAATAATGTATTAATAGGAACTCCTACCAAAGGTGAACATGTAAGTCATGCTTGTTTGTCAGTCTACAAGGCTACCAGTAGGTGGTATAATTCTTTAACTTTAAAGATTTTTTTTAACTTTAAATCTCATTTTCAATCCTAAAAAATCTAACAGGGGGATTTCAGAGTGTCTCCCACGATTAACTTCTGTGATTAGAGGAATTGGAGATCCACTGGTTGCAGTCTATGCAAGAGCATACCTTTGCAGGGTAGGCTACCACATAGCACTTCTGTGTCAGAGACTTAATACAGCTAGCTCTGCCACTAATTGGGGGTGGGGGTGGAAATTAACTGTTATTTTTATCTGATATGGTCAGCAGCCTGTCTTTTCCTTCAAACAAATAAAAAAAAAAAATTCTCTTATGTTGTTTCCTTTTTTTTTTTTTTTGCAATTTTTATTTGTATTGAAAATTGGTGTAAATAGCTTAGTTCCCTTTGCAAGTTCCAGCCTCGCTACACAGGACTTGTGTAACAGTAACTTTCTACTATTTATCAGTGTTATTCCTGTATCTATCTTTATTAATATTTTCATCTGGGATCCTTGCTTCATTCCATCCTCAGAAATCATTGTGCATGTTTTTTAAGCAATTTCTAAACTTTTGGCTGGCTTTTAAAAATGATTTTTGCTGTAGCCTTTCTGCCTACAAATACAGGCTGCTGTACTGCAGGTACTGGGATAGACATTGATTTCCTTACCATTTATAGTCCTGTGGATCTGATGTTTGAGAACCATGTTTGAACTCAGTGTAGCTGCCTTGAGTAATTGTCAGTGAGCACAATTATATTAGCAAGTTTTGATGGGTGCAACTAGGTATATTCCTCTGGAAAATACATTTTTTTTTGTTTTACAGTTGAATGAGGAGCATAGGTGATAGATACAAATGAAGTCCTTTTCTTTTACTACAGGTTGGAATGGAAGTAGCACCACAGCTCAAAGAAAGCCTCAACAAAAATTTCTTTGACTTTCTTCTAACATTTAAACAAGTGAGTAAATAATATTTTTTTTTATTTGCCAAATCACATAAGTATATTGTAGTTTGCCTAAGAACTATATAAATAGTTTTTGAGAACATTTCAAGTTCTTAAATCTAGACTTAGGAATGTTCCTGTACCCAGATGTAGTCCTATCACTAAACCACGTCCCATAGTACTGTGCTCACATTCACTCCCTTAAATACCTCAGAGGATAGGGGACTTTCTAGGGCAGCCTGTTCCAATGCTTGACCACCCTTGGTGAAGAAGTTCTTCCTATTATCCAGTCTAAATCCTTGTTAGGAAACTCTTCTGTGTATCCAATTGTATGCTCTTGTTTCTCAGTTTCTAGTTAACGGACGAAGTTTGTCATTGTTTCAGTTAAGTACTTCTTCACTGCGGTGCATTTTTGTGTTCTATTTCAACAGATTCATGGGGATACAGTTCAGAATCAATTGGTAGTACAATGTGTAGAAATTCCTTTGTATTTAACTCTCTACTCTCCTGCTATAGACTGGATTTTACAGTGTATTGCATACCATGCTCCTGAGGTAAGTGTGGTAATGCTCTGTACCAATGGAGATGTTGAAATGAAAAGTTAATTTGCTGAAAATAGACCTACACCTATGTTTTTTCCCCACTGTTTAACTGTATAGTGCTGAGAGTAAAGCAGTGCTTTGTAAATCTTAAGAGTGCTGAAAGCATCTCATGTAGTAACACCATGTATTTTCTTGTTTAAAATTCCTGGAGAAGGGTGCTCAATACAAAAGTATAAGTGCTAAATATGAAACTGAAGCTTTGGCAACATAAATGCTTTCTCTTAAATTGAAAAAATCTATGGCAAAGCACATTGAATTATAAATGATAAAGCTAAAATATCAACAGCAACTTCAGCTTGGCTGCTCAATTTTTTATTGTCTAATACAGTGATCAGGTCTGAGATCTTGCTTTTGGAATGTTAATACAGAATTTCTTAGAATTACAAAAAGCATTGAAAGCAGCTCCCCTTTTCTGTGTTCTTTGTGTTAAATGGCTGTATGTGTAATTGCTGATTAAGTTCTGCTCTCATCTAGTACAAATCATGCTAAGAGACATCACATGGAAGGATTTTCAAAAAACAAACCTAAAGCAAATACGGACATTTGAAAGCACTGCTAATGAATCTTTTTAAAAAGAGGTACATTCAGGACAGTGAAAGTCACAGGAAAAGGCCTGTAAGATTGTCTAGTCCAACTGTCAGCCCATCATTGCTGTGCCCAGTAAACTATGTCCCTAAGTGCAGCATCTGCATGTTTCTTGAGTGCTTCTAGGGATGGTCACTCCACCACTTCCCTGGGCAGCTTTTTCCAGTACTTGACCAATCTTTTAGAGAAGAAATGTTTCCTAATATCCTACTTGGCCTCAAGTTGCACCAGGGGATGCCCATTACATCTTGTTCTATCGCTGTTACCTGGGAGAAGAGGCTGACCCCCACCTCACTGCAGCTTCCTTTCAGGTAGCTGTGAACAGTGATAAGGTCTCCCCTGAGCCTTCTTCAAACTGAATGATCCTAGTTCCCTCAGCTGTTCTTCATAAGACTTGTGCTCCAGACCCATTGCCAGCTTTGTTGCCCTTGTTTGGACAAGCTTCAGTGCCTCAGTCAGAATTGTAGAATTGCAGAGGTTAGAAGGAACTTCTGGAGATCATGTAGTCCAACCTCCTGCTGAGGTAGGTTCCCTAGAGTAGGTTACTAAGGCAAATCTTCAGGTGGGTTTTGAATATCTTCTGAGAAACACATTTCACAGCCTCTCAGGGCAGCCTATTCTACTGCTGTCATTGTCCAAGTAAAGAAATTTTTTCTCATGTTCCTATGGAACTTCCCATGTTGCAGTTTGTGCCCTTTACCCCTTGTATTGGCACTGGACACCACTGAAATGAGGCTAACCCCATCCTCTTGACTCCACTTGGTTTTCCTTTCACAGGTGTAGAATGTAGAACTCCACGCTTACTCTTTTTGAACTTTAGGAGGTTCTCTCTGCCCAGCTCTCCAGCCTGTCCAGGTCAATGTCTTGTAGTGAACCCAAAACTGAACACAGTACTTGAGATGTAGCCTCAACAGGGCCAACTGCAGGGGAACGATCTCTTCCCTGTCCTATTTCTGTTTTCTGTTGGTGACTTGGGCGTGCTGTTGGCTCATGTTCAGCCAGCTGCTGAGCAGCATGCTCAGATCCTTTTCTGTCACACAGTTTTCCAGCCACGCTGCCCCAGGCGTCACATAGCATTGTTGTGAGTGATATTTTGAAGTAGTTGCTTTCTGAAGATACAAAAGTTACGCAGCTGAGGGGGAAAAAATGTATGTAATCCAATGGCATTGAATATTTAAATACCTTACCATTCTTTTCTTTTTTTTTTTAAACTAAAATTTTTAAAATGTCAATTTGTACATGAATGTACAAGCCAGTATAAAGAGCCTGAGTTTGACTTCCATGAAATAGTGTTTTTGATTCAAATGTCACCATACCCATTGTGTTTTTTTATGTTACACTACATTGCTGTTTTCTTGTGCTGTAAATGCAGGATAAGATGGGATTATTGGAATTTGTTGGGGAGGTAATTAAAGCAGTTCTTAGTAGGTTTTAGTACAGTAATTAAAGTTGAATTTATTTACAGAATCTTACTAATTTTAGTGAGTAATTCTTACAGATTCTGCTTACTGAGACGATGGAGAGGTGCAAAAAATTGGGAAACAAGTAAGTATTGTGCAGTTCAAAAGGCATGAGTCTGTAATGAGTACCCCAAGTGCCTGTAATGAAATTCTCCCTCTCCATTTTGAAAGCACTATTTGGATGCATTGCATGACTGATTGTAATTGTTAACATCTATTTTCCAGAGATGAATTCTGCCAGGTTTTATATTAGCTGTAAAGCAAAAGTTTAACTGATTAATCTGGTTGCTGCATTGTGTCCCCTAAGGCAAAGTTTAAGAAGCATCAGCCTTGTCTGATCCCTAGTTGTGCTTCATTTTTCCTCTGCTTTTCTTCCCTTCCTTACCTGTGCCCTCCCCTAGGCGTTAGCCTATACATGTGTTTTCCAAGGGAAGTTGTAAAGCAGCCAGTGTCTTTGGAAGAATATCTAGGTGACTGCTTTTTTTTTTTTTTTTCCAAAACTAAAATTAGTATTCCAAATGTCGCCTTGTGCAGACTAATTGTGTTAAGTGAATAATTCAGGAAGGTGGTCTGAAAGTTTTGGATGTGCTTTCTTTCTGAGCTTTGTGAATGTGATTTAGCCTGCTCATGAGTTAATCTCAGTTCATTTTACTGCCGAGTTCTGTGAAAGTTTTCAGTTACTTTGGCTTTTGATGTGCCTTATGCCATCTAATTCTGCAATTCATTCTGGCTGAAGAACGAAAATATGTTAATCACTTAAAGATGAGAAACTTCCTGCATTAGCATACTGTGACTGAGCTAAGGAATAGGGGAAGAATGTGATTTTTAAAAAATGATCTCAAGATTGTTTAATAGAGGTGAAATAATTCACATGCTCTTCTGTATTATTTTATGCGAGTGTTGTGGAACTTATTTTTAAAATGCTTTTTAGCATCCCATTGTAAAGATGGGTTAGGTACCTCATCTTTGTTTCTTTTTATTTATTTTGAAATTGAATTATCCAATTTAGATTGTCTAAAAACAGTGATAAATTTCTTTTTAAGTGGAGTCACATAGCTTTGTCTTCTCATGGCTGTCACAGTGTCACAAAGCAAGTCACACCAGTTTATAAATCTTTCAGTAATATCAGTATGTTTCATCATCATGTTGCAGCCATCTAAGTGAAAAATGTCAGCCTGCTTCTCTGCATTGCAAAGCATGTATCTGGTGAACTGGAAGTACTTGTCTAATGAAAAAATGCAAATTCCAGTTAAATTGCAGTGGGACCACTAATGCTCAGTCAGGAACAGGGGATGCTGGGCTATTTTAAGCACTCTATCAAGGTAAATTGTCTTGTATTCAGACTGCCTACTTTGGAGTGGTGAGGACACAGTATTGCTTGGATAGTGCAGCAGCTTTGGTGCTAACTTGTGGCTGAGTTTGCCTTTTGAGCAATACTAGATTTTTGTTTCTTATATTTGCATAATAATATCAATAAAGTAGATTTTAAAGTAATGAGTTGACTCCCCCACAGCAATTTTGTCTCAGTAGTAATACAAACTTGGAACAAAGCAGTTGATTATAAGTGTCTAAGCATGTCATTGGCAATAGTATTATAATAACTAGGTGTTCTGTTATTGTTTTTTAATCCTAACAGTGCAGCTACTAGAAATCTGACTTTCTTATATTCATATATATATCTTTTTAATTCAGTGAGGAAAAAACTTGGATAGAGCTTTGCCTTTCCAAAGAATACTTCTGTAATTAAAAAGAAGTGTGTTTCCAAATACTATTTACTTGATATTTTTTTCCTGGTAAGTTTTTGGTCAAATGATGGTTTCAAAAAGAACTATGTGGACCAAGTATTCTACAGGCTACTTTGTCCTTGTCTGATAACTTAATATTTTCTTCTTTTGCTAATGTGCAATTAGTCCTAAAGAATAAAAGTTAAATTTCTAAGGCTTTTTTTGCTCACCCCTAGCTTTTTCAAAATTTACAAAAGATGCTGGATTGGTTTTAGTTGTCAGTTTATATTAATATAACAAGAACTTCTAGTTGCTGTTGAACTGTATTGATTTATCTTATGTTCATTGTAGTGCTCTGCTATTAAATTCAATAATGTCAGCCTTCAGAGCAGAGTTTATTGCTGCAAGGTCTATGGACTTCATTGGCATGATTAAAGAGTGTGATGAATCTGGATTCCCGAAGGTAACATTTGGATGTGATATAACGCTTCTTTTTTGCTGTCTGGCTGAGTTATTTATGCTCTACTTGCATCTTTTCTTTTGCGTTCTATCCATGCTCTGTTTATACTAGTTGCCTACGTAAGTTGCACATTACTGAAATAAAAGGAGATCTAAACAATCTTTCTACATGTTCTAGAAGAGCGTTGGACAGAGAGGTCTTCTACTTTTAATTTAAATTTCTCATTACTTTTTAGCATCTTCTCTTTCGCTCCTTGGGGTTAAACCTGGCATTGGCTGATCCTCCTGAAAATGATCACCTTCAAATATTAAATGAAGCCTGGAAGGTTATAACGAAGCTGAAGAACCCACAGGTGAGTTATTGACAGTTCAGTTCCATGTTGATCCTTTGTTTAGGGCAAAATTGCAGCTGTTGTTCAGCAGGCTGTATATTTTGCATAGCATGGTTTACTTTTTCTAGATGCCTGCTGTTGCCAAAAGTTCAATACCTGATAGTATCTTTATATAATCCCTCTGACCTCTTCTTGCCTACATAAGTTGTGCAGTTTTGAAGTCATTATCTCCAGATCTTTAGGTCTGTATGAGTCACACCTCTGCAGTTATTATTTTGAGCGTAATTTTTTCATGTATGTTTCTCTTAACCTCCTGTAAATACTGGTAATCATTGGACACATGTATTTGTAGGATTACATCAACTGTGCTGAAGTGTGGGTGGAGTATACATGCAGACACTTTACGGTACGTGCTAATTTATTTCCTTTGAAGGTCTTCTCGTACAGTGCCTGTATCAGCTGCTGAATATTAAAAATAGAAAAGCCATGTGTGTTTAATATTTAAAATTCTTTAGTGTATGAAAAAATGTATTTCCTTTCATGAAAGATGAATAGGGACAAAAGATACGGCACGGCACAAGGAGGCCTCCACCACCCCTTCCCCAAAACCCTGTGTGATATTTCTTACTTTTTATTGCGCTGATTTAAATGAGGATTTACTGGAATATAGGCTAAAGTTCTTTGCTTAGCTAGAGCTGTGTAGAAGGCTGATGCTTTGGCAAATGGAAATAAATTATCCAACCGGTTTTCAGTCATTTGATTTCTATTCTGGTTTCATTACTTTCTTATGTAACCTCTTTTATTCACTATACAGAAGCGAGAAGTTAATACAGTTTTGGCCGATGTTATCAAGCATATGACTCCTGATCGAGCATTTGAAGATGCTTACCCACAGGTATAGAACTTAATTTTACGAATCTGCAAAATCTGTGCATTTTCTTAGATTGAACTGATTCTTAAACATTGATATCTCCTGCAACAAAATAATTTTTAAAGGCTGGTTGTTATTTTGGAATCCTTTTGGAACAATGTAATGCTGTGGTTTGGTCTATCTTTCAGTCCAGAAAATAAAGCTAAAATAGAGATTAATGTATTTAGAAGTAGGAATAATTAACTCCTGAGTCAACGGTGGTATTCTAGTGAGGCATGGAACATTGTGTAAACAGAAGTTAACATAAATAATAATAAATCTATGTCTAGTTAAAATCACAAGAGCTTCAGTGGGTTTTAATGTCCAGTTCTTGAGACTGTATGTCAGGTGAGAAACAAATTAGTTGGAGTGGGTCTAGAAGGGTTTTGTGATTACTTCCAAGTAATAGTAGAAAAAGTGCATACAAGAGAAGATCTAACATGTACTTTTTGTTTTAGTCTAGTGAGCAGGAGATTATAAATCAAAAATCTGCCTAAGTATAGAAAGTAATGAACAAATAAATAAAGCCTGGGTAGGCTGATTATCCTCCTTTCATGTGAGTTCTGAAGAGCATGTTGGAAAAACATCTAAAACATCTGTTAGGAATAGCACTGCAGTATTTGATCCTGCTTAGGGGAAAAGAAATAGCATGAATGAACATCGAAGAGGCTTCCAACCCAGTTTCCTCTGAATGACCAGAGAATGCTCTCTGTTGTGAATACTCTTAACTTACATTACAATCTTTTTCCTTTTTTTTTTTTTAAAGTTGCAGTCAATTATTCAGAAAGTTATTACCTACATCAGTGATTTCTCTCTGCTTTTTTCAGTGGTAAGTAATACCATGTTTCCTATCTTTTTTAGGAGGAACTGTGTTCCACAATTTACACGAGACGGTTTAGCCAAGTTGCATGTTTAGATTGTTTGGAAATTCACATTGTGAGAAGACTTTTTATCAAGTAAATAAGTGCAAAAACATCTTGGGAGTTGTCTACTGCTTACTACTTAAATAGTCATTATTCTAATTTCACTTTCCTGTACTTTTTCTTGCTTACTCACTTAAATTCTGTAAATTTTGTTGTTACACTATAGGAGACAATCAGTGAAAAAGAAAATATCATTTATTTGTATCTTTGGGTGTAATTGCTGAGAGTTAGCTGTTCCTGTGTTATCCTTTAACATGTTCTATCATAGAATTTAAGTTTGGGATCAAATCACAAAGAAAATTAGAGAAGTCAGAGTCTGGGTAAGAGGTGGAAAAAGGAAAGGCAGCAGATGTCAAATTAGTGAAACCAGCTCTTCAGAGTAAAATTCAAGACTGACTCTATGGCTTTGAAGTCAAGTCTTGTTCATAGAATGCTCAGGTACATCTGACAAATTTACCCTCACTGTATTATTGAGATGCTGCAGAAAAAAAGTATCTCAGCATCTGAACAACCTAAGCCCTTGTCTTTGAAGAAAATTTGAATGTCTTAGACCTGGGTAAGTTGCCCTGGACATATCCACAATGAAAAGTGGGCATGTGGCCTTTTTTAGTTCTTTTATGCCCTAACAATTGTTCCCATAGATGTCTCAATTTGCTGTGATTTTAAGCTGTTTCAATTGTATGATTGCTTTTTAATAATTTGCTACATTTGATTCAGACTGTTCTATGTTTTGTATTTTATTCTGAATCTCTACAATTGGTAATGGTAATACATTTCAGCCATCTGTTTCCTTCTTTCATTAGTAGTCTTCCAAACTAAAATACTGTTCTCAAAAAAAAAAAAAAAGATGAAAATTATTTTTTGGGGAAAAGAAAACCAACAACCCTGATAATAAAACTTACCCAAAATATTTCTTTTATAATGTGTTTGTCAAAATACCTAATTTTAGTTGTTCGTGTATTTGTACTTTCAGGAGAAATTCTTGCCATTTCTGGATATGTTCCAGAAGGAAAGTGTGAGAGTGGAGGTTTGCAAGTGCATTATGGAATCTTTTATTAAGTAAGTAAAGAATATTCAGATCAAATTCACTCTGGAGAATCTGGGCAATGTTCTGTGGGATTGTTAGGGAAGATGGACTGAGTCACTGTTTAGTCCTCTTATCTTGTGAAGATAAATCCAGGCTGGTGGGGCGAGGGGGGAGGGGAATTGTCAGTTTTGTTAATCTATTGATTTACTGCTTAACTGTTCACAATGAAAGCTGAAATTGAAGTAATCACATTGATGCTACTTACTATTGATCAACAGATGACTTGTTCCATGAGCGTTCTTTCAACTTATGTTGCTTTAATTAGTTTATGAAAGGTTTTTTAATTCCATCTGATATCATCATACAGAACTGTTACTTTGGTATAAAAGAGGAAAAGAGAGTTCCTTGTTACAAGCTCATCATATATTAAAGAAAAAGATATTTTCCCAGTTGAAAATGCATTTGTGAGATGAGGTTTCATGCTCAGATATTATAGAAGTCACATGGTTCTTTTCAATTAATAGGTTCTTGGAAACACCACCTTCTTGATCACCTTTTTGCTTTAGATTACAGAATTGCAAGCAGATGCTAAATGATGATAATCCAAATCCACTAAGAGAAACTGGAACGAGTTTCTATTTTTTCATAGAAGGGCATCTTAGCACATTCAAAGTAGTGTTTTGTTGTTTTTTGGTTTTTTTTATACTATTTTGTAACTCTTGTATATTCTTATTGTCTTACAGCCCTGGTGGTAGGGATTACTCATTAAATATGTTGCTCTATTCACTGTTTTGCATTTTGACAATGCAGGATTTTTCACTGCTTTTTCTAAAACATTTTATAGGCATCAGCAGGAATCTACGAAGGACCCTGTTATACTCAATGCTCTTCTGCATATCTGCAAGACGATGCATGACTCTGTGAAGTAAGATTAACTTTACTCCTACTAATAACTGCTTACACGAAGTTTGACTGCTTGGTGTACAATCTTGCTCATCTGAGAGTGTTTCATGATGGATTAAGACATGAATCCAGTTAGTGGTGAGGGAAAAGCCGTACAATGAAGTGGTAGCACATACTGTTCTTTAATTCGTGCTTTATGTATCTATAGTGAGAGAAAGAAATTTTAAAAGGAAAGCAGCAACAGTTTTGTAGATTTGTCTAAGGAAGGCACTTAAAATACGATTAAATATATTTTTGGCAATTAAACCAATGTCAGCTTTGAGTTATAGTGAATAATAAACTATTTATGAGCTTTAAATGAATATGTGGCCATTAAAACACAGATTGCCATCCTCAATTTATCCTTTTATTTTGGCCACTTTCAGTCATAACCAAGGGCTGTGAAATCTTTGAAAGGACTCCTGGAAGATCCCTAGGAATATCAGCAAAGCATCATATTTCTAACTATTTTGAAGTACCTCTGACTTTTTTTTTCCACATCCTGGTTCAGAAAAGTCCCAGGCCACTTGTAGGGTTCACCTCCAACAGTAACAGTTGTTGGAGGATGACAGCCTTCAGACTGGTAGCAGTTTGATTTGGTATTGAACTGGAAACCTATAATTGACCTGGTGATCCCATTACAACTCTTGTGATCCTCTCAGAGTTGTCTCTTTTGATTGGCAAAACCCTAATAAGATAATCATGCTGAGGTTTTCTTTCTGCTTTTACAGAATTTGTATAATAAAACTACTGTCCTCTTCCCATCTGGTGTCTGAGCTATTGGGAAATGGTAATTGATAAATAAAGGTCAAAGTTGGAGCTGAGTACATAATACAGGGATTAAATTGTAGTAGTTAATTGTTACTTAACAGTTTGTTTATCTGTTTTCAGTGCAAGTTAGATTTGACTTGCTGGATTTTCAGATATGTGAATTTATTTCAAATCTTATTTGAAATAGAATTGATATCAATGACAATCTTGAAAATAAAATTTTACGTATCAGTCTAGTTCTTACAGTGCTGCCTTTCTGATATTTTAGTAACAAGATGTTAATGACAATTTTTAAATAGTGTAGCAGGATTTTTCAAAAAAAGACAAGAAGGTAATGTTGTCTTTTAAATAAATACATTATTATATACCATTCAGTGTGTATTTGAAAAGCTTTTCCCCCATAAATAGGATGATTTTTCTTCTAAAAAATGGGTTTACTTCTCTATAATCAATTCCCTTTTAAGTTCTCAGGTTGTTACACAAGACTTAAGCCATTTTCTTACTTGCTCCAGTTGAGAACACTGAGCTTTCTTGTCTTCGTACTAAATCTAAGGTTCTGTAAAATCTAAAGAGACTCTTAGCAATTTTTATATTTCTATAAAATTTGGAATTCAGTGCATGGTTGACTTCTTGACATTCATATTGAGATTATTTCCTTTGTTTTATAACTGAAATTATTAGGTTAGTGGTCTTAGCATGCAGTAAATATTTTATGTAGACATAAAGTTAGTATGTGTCATTTGAACTCCTACAGATAAAGAAGTTGTTTAGCAATATTCAAGAATTTACCATGTAAATCTTCTGTTACAGTGCTCTGACGCTTGAAGATGAGAAAAGATTGTTAGCAGCTTTGATAAATGGATTCATAAAAATGGTGAGCGGCACTTGTGTGCAACTGATGGGTTGTACCTTATAGCTGGGATTTTCATGAGAAACAGGTGCTGATATAGCAGAATTAGAGATGGTACATGACTTGCTTAAGGCTGCTGAAAACCTCAACCAGTGTATTTTATTGAGTATGCAGGTGTTGAAAGAAATATAACACAGTGTTGAAGCTGGCATGGTGTGGTATGGTTAAACTGTACATGTGTATTTAATCATATTTTTCTGCTGTTTTCTGCCTGTTGAGTATTTATAAGTTTAGTAGTAATTAGCCTTTTATACTGCAGCTTTAAAGAGACGATCACAGAAATCACATCTATGCAAATAAAATTCCCCTTCCCATCCCTAAATGGGATCATTTTATTATTAGGAATAAGACAAATTCTATCATTAGTAGCCTCACAAAAACTCCAGTTGTTGTCATTAAATTAATTTTTAGACCCTCTCTCCCTTTTAGCAAATAGATTTAATTTGGATCTCATCCCCTGTGTTTGTGATGTTGGTTTTTTTCATCTGTTTGTTTTTTTTACAGAGGTGTTTGTAAGCTCTTCTCTTGGTATTCTCTACACAGGTGTCTTCAGTGCTTGGCTTTTCTTTCACGTAGTCATAGCTGGCAGGCTTTGTCCCTGTTTGTTATTCTTTATTTTAATTCTATGACTGTATCTCCAGGTTGTTACTTACTTTTCAGCTTTAATATTAGCTGTATAATGTGATGTTTAAAGTATTTTTATTAAGGTTTTCAGGCAGAATAATATACAAGGGCTGCTTCAAAACTATTGGCTCCTGTTTCATCATGTTGGCCCAAAATGTCAGAGGCAAATGTTGGTGGGATGGCAGCAGAGGTTGAACCTTCCTGCTTACACCCCATTACATTTGATTGCTGTGTAACAGACAGCAGCAGAGGGACAGTCTGACGTGAGAGTGCATATGGAGCAAAGATGTGTCACTGAATTCCTCCATGCAGTAAAAATGGCACCCACTGACATTCGTGGACGCTTGTGAACATTGACGGAGACCAAACAGTGGGTGCTGGAACAACAAGCAGTGCATTTCATAGTGGTGACAACAGTTCACCTCTGCTAGTGCAGGTTTGTGGCTGCAGCTGGCATGCAGCTCTTGTTCACTGCTGGTGAAAATGCAGATCTGGTGGTGGTGACTGTGTTGGAAAAAGAGTGTTTTGTAGATGAGAATTTGCTCTATCAAATGGTGTTATTGTGTTCTTTGTATCTGCTGTAGTTTGTATTGGAGTAAATAGGAAGCAGTACTTTTGCAGCAACCTACATATAATTTCCCTAAGGAAGATTTTACTCACGGAAGAATACTTGATGTGTCTTCCTAGCTCTGGTTGGGAGAGGTAAAAAAAAAAAAAAAAAAAAAAGTCCCAGAGTAGCAAATTATTAGTCCCAATTTTTAAACTGAACATTAAGATATTTAGTTTTTTTAAGGGTAGGACAGAGTGAGCAGTTGCATAAACACAAGCAAGGCAGTTGGGTCTGTAACATTAGAAGCAATCCTTTGTTTTCTGGTGTGGTTCCTTTGATCTTTCACTGTGTGAAATAAATGTAATTTTCCTTCAGTTCTCTAAAAACTTATTTTACGTGTGACTTGAGAAATAAGATATAATGCAGCCATGACTCTCAGGAAAAAAAAAAAAGAATAGTTGTATCCGTAAATATAGACTGCCTGGAGACTTTCTCTCGCTGTGCTTTTGATTGACAGCTCAGACACTCCAGCCGACAATGCTTGGTTTTAAAATCTGGAGGGTCAGAAATAGAGCATTCTAAATAGGAATTGTTTTTGACTTATTTCCTGCCAGCATACAAGTCTACAGGCTTTTACCACATTACTTTGTTCCTGCTATACCTAGTTAGAAAAATAACTTTTCTTGAAGGCCCACTGTGTAAATGGGAATTAGGAACCTGAGTACAGATGTATTTCTGAATTTGTTTTGTTTGTTTTTTTTAACCAAGCTTGTGTCTCCCAGTTCCGTAGTATCAGGTGTGCTGCTAGTTTTGAAAGCACTTCTCACAAATCTAGGAAACTTTGTTTTCTTGAATAAATATTTGGTTTGGAAAATAGTGGCATGTTTACGAACAACAACAAAAATGAGCAAAACATGCAAGTTTTTCTGAAGTTTAATTACTGGAAAGCAGTTAAATGTTTGTACAACAGTAAAATGTTTTTTTTTGTGTGTGTCCTTTCTAGGTTTCATTCGGTCGTGACTTTGAGCAGCAACTGAGTTTCTATGTTGAAGCTCGGTCTATGTTTTGCAATCTGGAGCCTGTTTTAGTCCAGCTAATTCATGTAAGCTATAGTTTATCTACATTATATTAATAGATGCGGATATACTTGCAGTTTTCCCATTCCCTACCCAGATTACTGGTCAGTATCAAAATGATAAAGACCTTGCATCAGGTGTTTTAAAAGTAGACTTTGATCTGATCTTTCATTTTTATCACCCCAAACTTTCTGAAATTCTTGCTTGACTCTGAAGTCCTGATGCACGATAGATATCGTGGCAACATAGTTACGTTGGGAGAGATTTCAAGGCCAGAGTACCATAAATGGTACTTCTATGTATTTGGAATTTGGGTTCTCTCTTCTATAATCCTCTACGTAGCAGTGGTTAGACTGAGTCTGATCTGCAGACATGGACAGAATCCTGCTGTAATTGGGAAGTTTAATTGCTTTTCTGTATACAGTGACATGACAGATTAGCATTTGCTGCAACCGAATCCTCTGTGTGATATAGTACATCATATCTCCTTTTAAATCCTACTTTGTATGTGATTTCTAGCTTAGAAAAGAGGTGATGCCACTGCTTTAGCTGGGAAACAAGGAATAGTTTCCATTAACTTGAATTAATTGAAAGCCCTACATTGACAGACCTTCAGAATCATATTTACTTAAACGAACAGCCATTAGAATTCTCTCAGTGGGCAGAGAGTAAAAACTAAATAATACGGTGAAGGCACAACATATCTGGTTTCTTTTCGAGAGTTTCTCTTCTCTAACAGCATGCAGTAAAGCATGTAGTTTGTTATTTGCAAATGACCTAAGAAAGCTGTATGTTTCTTAATGTTTTGCTTTTTGTGTGTGCGTGTCTGTGTGTGCGTGTCTGTGTGTGCGTGTCTGTGTGTGCGTGTCTGTGTGTGCGTGTCTGTGTGTGCGTGTCTGTGTGTGCGTGTGTAGTCTGTGAACCAACTGGCGATGGAGACAAGAAAGGTGATGAGAGGAAATCATTCCAGAAAGACTGCTGCGTTTGTCAGGGTAGGTAAAAGTCTAATATGTTTTGAGCCTGCTTTCTAAGCAGGTAGTATTATCTGCTGCCATCAAAGTTTACAGTTTTTGCAAAAGCAGTGCATTATTTTTTTTATTCTGTTTGTAATCTCATTATCTCTTGGTGCCATTGATCCTTAATCTCTAAAACCAAATGCTGCTATTTAAGAAAATACAGATCCAAAGCAACAACTGACAGCTTTGTGTCAAGAAAGGATGACACTGTCTCTATCCCCAGATGAAGTGCTCATGTTCATTCTAGAAAATTTGGCTTTTCATATTGTATTTGAAATGAAGTATTTAATTTAATAACTCAGTCACAGCGAATGGGAGACAGGAAAAATAATAAGTTCAAATTTCCATCTCATAGAGCCTTTCAGTGTTTAAAGGGGCCTTATAAGAAAGATGGAGAGAGACTTTTTACCAATGGGTAATGGTTTTAAAGTAAAAGAGGGTAAATTTAGATTAGAGGTAAGAAAGAAAATCTCTACTGTGAATGGTGAGGCACTGGCATGTCTCACCATGTCCAGAGAAGCTGTGGATGCTCCACCCTTGGAAGTCTCCACATTCAGTTTGGGAGGAACTTTGAGTAACCTGATCTCTGCTTCAGAAGAATATTGGAGCTAGATGATCCTTAAAGGTCTCTTCCAACCCAAATCATTCTATGAGTCTGTGAAGACAGTGCTTGAATTTCAAATAAAGAGCTCCCTTTGCCTTTGGTGTTTCCAAGTCTCGACAAGGGTTGTCGAAGAGTTTTTAAATACTCACAGACTCTTCAGGTTCTTTGCGTTTCAGTCTTCTACCTGAAACATAGCAACAAAGATCAGCTGCTTCTTTATGTGCTGTGAAGGAGAATGTTGTTACTAATGAATGAGTTTTCATTATTGGACCTGCACTTGGGGTCCTGGACAGAGAAGTAGCTAAGGTGGCAGCTTGTGTATGGCTGGATATCACTCATTCCATCTAGACATCTGGGCTGCTCCAGTTGGTCTAAATGCTATGCTAGCATGCTATGCTAGACCTCATTCCTCCCAGTCGTGCACAGTATCATTGCTATAAGCAGTTTGATACATGGCTTGCCCCTGAGCACCTTACATCTAATAAAAGCACAACATGCTAATGAAAAAAATCAGCTTGTAGCTCAAGACCAAAACCTGATTACTTGAAAAGAGCTATTTGAGTTAGAGTCACAGTTTGAATGTAGATATTGGTAATTATAATAATTAGTAATAAATATTGTTATAATTGTTGAAATAATAATGAGAGATTCAAAGTTGCTGATTTTGGACTTCACATAATACCTAATTCTTATTCAAAATCTTTCCTTAAACCTATTGACAGATTTACATTCCTAATCACATATGAAATCAGAAATGATTGCTGTAACTCTGAGTTAAGAATTTTCTTCAGTGTTTTTTTTTTTTTTTTTACTTTGCTTTAGGCTTGTGTTGCCTTCTGCTTCATCACAATTCCATCTCTGAGCAGTATCTTTACACGTCTTAATTTGTATCTGCACTCTGGACAGGTTGCTCTGGCAAATCAGTGCCTTTCACAAGGTAAGGGAGGAGTTTGTTTACTTACAAGTTCTCCTATTTCAGAAGTGTTTCTAGTATTTCTAGCTTTGAATAATAACTTCATTGAGATTAGAAGTCGTACAGGTATATAGCAGATGTAATTAACAGTCTGTTTTACACACTGTAACAATGGAAGCATATCATACTGAAGCAAGTTTTTAGTTCCGTCATTAATCCTGTGTGGTAAATAACTAAGACAACTGATTCTATCTACATACCTGTGGATATGAGGTGGGCTGGTCCTAAATGAAATAACTCTGAAATTAGGAAAACTACGGAATGTTTTTCTGCATGACTGTCCGAGTACTCCAATCACAAATATGCTTTAACATAACAGATTAACTACTTTCTTCTTTTGCAGTTAACAGCATAGAGGCTGACAAAGTCTAGAAAAGAGCTGGAAAAGATTTAAAACTTAAGCCAGTGACTTCAGGAACTTGTTTATCTCTTGTGCTTTGCTTACCTAAGAGTATGTGACACTATTTGGATAATGTAAAAAATTAAACATATTTTCTTAAATCTGAATTAGTAATTGAAATGGAGCCTGAGTACAGTTTTTCATCCTGTTAGTTCAGTCTTAAGTAATTTGAAGTACTGACAAAAGGTGATTTGTAGAAAAAAAAACTTGTAACCACACCAGCAAGTATATGTGAGCAGTACATCTATGTCACCATTTAACTGTGATCTTGTTCACATTCATGCCGCAAATGAAGACAGTTACCTCTTCTGAAAGTCTCCTACCTCTAACTGTCTGCAGTATCTTTCCTTTTTGAAATGCTGTCATTCTACTTTATTTTGCAGTTCTCATACTAACTCTGAATGTCAACTCTCAAATGGTAAATGCATTTCATATACATATTTTCAGTATAAAAGTGAAAGTAGTAAATGGGATTAGTTGGCAACATCCTTTCTTTTGTCTGTTAATTCTTTGGTTAATCTCCACTTTCTTCTGAGACCAATATAAATGTTTTTGTCTGATGGTTTTAATCTATAACAATTACAGCCATATTGTGCTTGTGCATTCTGTACTTGATTCATTCTTTTCTTACTGCTACCATGTTTTGTTGTTAGGGCTCCCTCAATGAATATTTAAAATTCAAGTAGAACTGTGTGCGTGAAAATAAAAATATGTATATTTTCTAGAAGCTACAGGAGATTTTTCCCTAAGTGCAATTTTGGCATTTAGAGTTTGCATTTTACTGTTGGCATTCAGTAGCAGGTTGTCCCAGTTATAGCCTATGTGTGATGGCTCACCTGGCAGTGAGCTTTACTCACCCTGCCTTACTGTACTACAGTGAGCGGGATAAGATCATGCTGGTCAGCCTCTAGGGAATATTTTTGGCTATTGAAGCAAAGGTCAATCATGCATTCTTTTGAAGAAAAGCAGCATAGACCAACTGGGTGACTGAGCTGTGGTTGCTTTGAGTTACAAAAGGTTTTTGTTTGCCACAGTAAAATTGAAATTGTAGCTGGGTTTTTTTTGTGTGTGCACTCTGCCACAGAAGTCATAGGTTAGACCTTTGGAAAGGCTTTATCTACAGGAAGTAAGGGGAGAACAATTCCAAGTAAGTTTAACTTGCCAGCAGTCAGATGATTGCAGAATATTGGAAAGGATAGGTTTTCAAGTAAGGAGATGAATCAGAATTGGATATGGGTTCTGCAGTAGAAACATCTGTGATAGCCTTTTAATACTGCTGTAGGGAATAAATTCTTGTTTACAGGGAGACAGAGCTGGGATTCATTACCCAGCCTGACTTCTGCCATGCTGGAGGAATGAAAGGGAAATCTATCTTTTCATTCGCTTACTTGGATTTCCTTTCAGTTCGATGTTCTCCAAGCTCTGCATTTACCAGTAAATTCCAGCTGCACAAAAAGCTGACTTAGGATGCTGATTAGGACTTTTTAGTACAGGATGATGGTTGTATTTCTTTGTTTTGAATGTGATACTGCCCACGGAACAAAGGAGAGGGATTTAGGGCAAAGCTGCCTGTTATGTTCAAGAATGCTGTGCAAATAAAAGATCTGCAAAATTGGTTGTTGTGAAAATACTATTTTTGCAGTTTCTTTGTACATAACTGAGTTAACCAAAAATAGACTTTTTCTTCTTTCTGTAGAGCTTAGTTTAATGGAGCAGCTTACCCTATCATTTGCACCAATTTTTGTTGTCATCGCTGTGTTGCAGTGCATCTCTTGCTGGAAACAAACCCAGAACAGTTTTTCTGTCATATAAAGTCCTCGAGGACTCTGCTCTGCTGCTGCTGAGACCAGCTCTGTGATTTAATAATTCTTCAATTTCTAAACTGCTTTTTCCACTATTTTTGGGATCCAAGTCTTGTCTGACAGGCTCATGGCCACCAGCAGCTGTCCTTCCTTTTCAATGTGAAGAGGTGATAAATGTGCACAGCTGTGAGAGTGAGAACACAGTGCTCTCACTTAACAATGAACAAGCATCTCTGTTCTGAAATCTTTAAGGCAGCAGGTGTGTGCAAAGTATTATGAAGTCAATCTCTAAAGTTCATACGTTATTAACTCTTCTGAATTTTAGACCCATGAGCAGAATTGGTGGTGGTTCAGTAACTCGATTCATTTAGCAAGGTTTTACAATTAAGCTCTTGTTTTCTTCCTCAGCAAAGTTCTTTTGAGCATAATTTTTATTCAGAGACATCTCATTTGCATGAGTAATTTAGCATTTGTTAAACAGGCAACAGTGGCACCAGTCTGTGGACACTTCTGTGATCTGTCTTTGCGTATTCTGCTCTGTTGTAGTCAGATAAAGCATTCTTGAAAGTTGCTTTTAATGCAGTTTAGTCTGTCTAAACTGAATGTGTTTCATATGTGTAAGGAGTAATGATTAATTCATAAAAACAAATTCAAATCCAGTCAGTTAACTGATTCCAAATATGCACCTATCTATTAAAATCAGCGCAGCATGAAGACTTAAGAGTGTGCAGCTAATGATAGTATTAGACCAGGATGTGAAATCACAGAATTACAGAATGGCTTGGGTTGGAAGGGACCTCAAGGATCATCAGATTTCACCCCTGAGCTGCAGGCAGCGCTGCCAACCACAAGGCCAGGACTAGATCAGGTCACACAGCGCCCATCCAGCCTGGCACCTCCAGGGACGGGGCATCCTCAGCCTCTCTGGGCAGCGGTGCCAGCACTGCACCACTCTCACTGAAAAACTTCTCCTGACATCCAAACTAAATCTCCCCTCATTTAGTTTAAAACCATTCCCCCTTGTCCTATCACTATCTAGCCATCTGAAAACTTGATTTCCCTCCTGTTCATAATCTTAAATACAAAACTGAAAGGTACAGCACCTGATCTGATGGCTCATGTAGTAGAGGGACATGTGTTTGTGCATGTAGTTTTCCTTTCAAGGTTCCAGCTGTTGCGTTTTGCAGTTTGTATTCTTGGATTTCTATTTAACTTTAAAAACCTTACAGTGAGTTTAGCTCTTCTAGTGGGTTGAGTTTTCACTTAAATATGTTATTAAATTGGATTTGATAGGGTTAGGGTAGGGTTGGTAATTGGAATTTCTGTTGGTAATAGGATGATTTCTCTAAACTGTCAATATATCTAACGCCAAAAAAGAAGAGTAAAATTGCCTGCTAGATAAGCAGAGCTAAATAAGGGGAATTAAAAAAGACTGGTCTTTTTAATAGAGAGGATGTGCAAGTCATAACAGTAAACAACACTGGCTATACTGAGGCTCACACTGATCAATTACCAACAATTGGAGAGCCACAGCTGACCTGGTTCCAACTGCAGGGGTCTGTGTGCCTCACTCTTGGTACAGAGGGGCCATAGTAGCACTCCCAGTGCTGGTGTCTGATTCTTCCATTTCCCTCTCGTGGGTCACCGAGTTGCCTGCTGGGATGCCATGTTGTTGTCCAGGTCACTGGTGCTTGATTGAACTCAACCTAAGTACTTAAGTACTAGAATTGTAATTGTCATTTTTCTTGCAATACATTTTCTTTAATATGGCATAATTGGAACAGAAATGTGAATTTGTAAGTGTGTGTAAAGGCTAATAATAAAAACAAATGGAGCTAGTAAGCAGCTGTTAGTATTCAGAGCTTTGGCAGAGGACAGGAAAGAATCTAAAATGGGAAAATCATTGCACGGTTTGGAGAGAGAGGCTCAAAAAGTACATAGAGATTGGTTTTTTAAACTTAATGTGTTCTTCGGGGAATGTGGGGAAAGGATTGAAATTAAAAACTAATCTGGCGGAGAAAAATAGCCTTATTTTCATTTTGGATCAGTTCTCCAGTTCTCTAATATCACAACTAAAGGGAGGAAGGCACAGTCTTAGGTTGACATTACAGCTGGAAAGAAATTACTATTTTTTTTATTACTATTTTTTTACTTAAAAAAAAAAAATTCTTAACTGCAGAAATGCAAGGAATTTTTCTTAATACAGCCCTAGTATGTAATATTTCTGTACATTAAGTGCATATGAAAATGTTACAGAATCCTGGTGACAACATGGGCTTCAATTCAGTTACTTTCATATGGCCCATAGGTAGAAATATTGTTACAGAAGATACAGATTCTGTGGCAGCTCCTTAAATCAGCATTGGCAAAAGATTTTTGTTGTTTTTTCCCCCATGGAATTTCTGATCTTCTTCACCTTCAAAGAGGAAAAAATAAATCGGCGTCTCTTCACTGAGCCTTCCAAGTGGTTCTGCTTCTTGTATGCCTGCTCTTCCTGCACTGATAACCTAGAACAAATGTGTGAAAGAACTGTATAGCAGGAGCAAGGAAACAGAATTAGCTTTCTGGTATGTTCTTAGATTGTACTGAACTTCATTTTGAGGTCTGTCTAGTACAGTGAGTCTTCAGTCAGGTGGATGTCTGTCCAGGTGTGCTGTTCATAATGTATTAAATATGAATACCATCTCCTTTGTGTGCAGCTCCCAAAGAGTGTTTTAAATAAAATTAATAGACCATTTTCAATGATTTTTGTCCTAGATTTG